ATCTATAATTTAATAATTTATTAAATTTTAGAGATTTAAAATATAAGCATGTTAAATCATCCCACATAATTCACATAATATTTCAATATATCTCTCCATCATTTTCTATAATATCCTATAGTTCATCCCCACTTAGTTCATGTTATTTTTCTTTTCTCTCATTAAGTCATATCACATCAATTTATTTTAGTCCTTAGATGATTAATCTATGGTTCAAATTATCTCTTTTCTTTTCTTCTCTCATTAAGTCATAACATCCCAGTTTTTTTAGCCCTTAGATATATGTTCTAATTTATCTTTCTTCTTTTGTTCTCTCAACAAGCCACATCATTTTACTTTTACATTTGAATGATCATTATACATACTATTTAAATTTAAATCACATCCACTTATGTAAACTTATGTTTATATAAGCTTATGTTGTTTAAGCTATCTTACACATTATTTTTACTCATTGTTCTTATAGTAAACTCCTGCAGCAATGCGCGGGGTTTCACCTAGTATTATAATATGAATGCTACTAAAATTTTGTATGGCGAGTATATTTTACAAATGTCTTATAACTTGTAAAAATTCATAATAAATTCATGCTATTTCTAAAAATTATGAAATAAGTTATTATTACACATTATCATCCATTAGTACATTTAACCATCATGCAAGCATGTTATATTATCTGTAATTTAATAATTTATTAAATTTTAGAGATTTAAAATGTAAGAATGTTAAATCATCCAACATAATTCACATAATATTGCAATATATCTCTCCATCATTTTTTTATAATATCCTATAGTTCATCCTCGCTTAGTTCATGTTATTTTTCTTTTCTCTCATTAAGTCGTATCACATCAATTTTTCTAGTCCTTAGATGATTAATCTATGGTTCAAATTATCTCTTTTCTCTGCTTCTCTCATTAAGTCATATCATCCTTGTTTTTTTAGCCCTTAGATATATGGTATAAATTATCTTTCTTCTCTTTTTTCTCTCAAAAAGCCACATCATTTTACTTTTATATTCGAATTATCACTATACACACTATTTAAATTTAAATCACGTCTACTTTTGTAAACTTATGTTTATATAAGCTTATGTTGTTTAAGCTATCTTACGCATTATTTTTACTCAATGTTCTCATAGTAAACTCCTGCATCAACTCGCGGGGTTTTACCTCGTATTACAATATGGATGCTACTAAAATTTTGTATAGCGAGTATATTTTACAAATGTCTTATAACTTGTAAAAATTCATGCTAGCTCTAAAAATAATGAAATAAATCTTGTTAAATTCAGGAAAACAAACTCTTTACGGAAGTAAGCGAGTATAAATCTTGTTTTGCAGTTGATAGAATTGTTTCAGATTGAGGATTCTGGACCATTGCTTGTTCAGGATTGGATTCTAATAAGGTTCTACCCCTATTCAGCTTGGTTATGAGTTATGTGAAGACAAGCTTCCGCGAATCTTTATTTATTTGGCCAGTTGGGCTAATATAAATTTAAATTAAGTTCTTGCCTAAATTTTTGTATATCATGGCATAGATGAAAGTGTAAAGCTAGCAACTTCCTAGGGCTAGCCGAGCATGAGTATGATTTCTGAGGAATTGAGATGTTGTAGAGCTTAAGCGATTTGAGTCTAGTTTCTTGGGATATGCAACACATTTGGTCGCCGCCTTCGTGTGGCTCGACAAGCACGTCTCAGGCTGACGTTGACTGGCACGCTAAGTTCTAGCAATATCTCCTTTGCTCATTATTCGGCATTGCAGATTTTATGTTGAATGGTGTTATGTTGTGATCATGGACACATTAAGGTTTGAGTGGCTATTGTTGGTATTTCTTAACGTCACAGATAGAATCCGCAAGCGCACGGAAGATACCGATGTAGCACTTTACCTGGGAGTATTCCAAAGTATCAATTTCCACAGGGAATGTGTGTGTCAGCTCTTCACCAGGATCGTCCAAGGACATGAAGCAAAGATAGGCAAAGGGTAGAGAGGATTTACTAGTGAGAGACAATGTCTACGGAAAGCTCAATTTAATCCTAACGCGATACTTTGGGCACTGGCCAGCCCACTGCTCCTAGATGTCGCTCTACTGCGTACCCAGACAGAGAGGACTTCAGTGTAATTGAGGGCTGTCACCAGTTCTACACCCACCTCAAACCTACTGTGGGATACGAAGCAACCACCGAAAATTAACTACCCAGACACCACGTCTACGCAGTTAATAACTACTTTAGCGTTAGCTAAACACTAAAGCAACCACTATATAGTGATCAATGATCCCGCACACTAATTAGGAACTAACCAAGAGATAAATCTCACTGAATAAATATTAATTACTCATAATAATATTTCAATTAAAGTAGAGTAATTAACAGAGTAAAAGAAATAAGAAGAGGATTACCGACAACTCCGTAATTCCTCCGACTTCCTCTACTCTACTCTCTCCTTAATTCTAGTATACAATAAAGTACAATAGAGCCTTTTATCGTTCAGCTCAAGCTTGGAGTGTGTGTAAAGTGAAATGAGGAGCTCCTTTTACAGGCAGGTATGACGATTGTAGAGCATGCGAAATGTCTGAATCACCCTGCAACCGCTATCAGGAGATGATCTGGGACGTCTGTACCAAACCCCAGCCTGAACGGCTGAGATTGGGTTTCGGTCAAACCAACCCTGGTCTAGCCCAACAAGCCCATAACTTGGCTTGTGTCTCTCCCTCAGCCTACCTTATCCATTTCCAGGAGAGATGGGCCTATTTTCTGATGGTTCGATAAAGTTTAAAGCCCACTCTTGGATGGATAAAAGTATTCCTTCACTTAAGTATGGATTTCACCCCAACTTAAGCGGTTTATTACATGCATCCAAATATAAACTAGCACTTGTGGAACATATTAGAATTAAACCCTACCACTATATATGTTGGATGTATCATTTATTATGTTTTATGCAGGTATTGGCGACATAGAATTGGCATTTAACAGCCGTCAACAACTGTTTATGCATGTATTGATCCCACTCATCCAAAATCTGTGGTGATCACAAATGGCACCGGATGGTATAATTTTCGGGTGCTCTATAAACCGGCACCTTTATACAGGATAAAAGTTTTGTTTTTTTAATACAAGCGACAATCTGGGAAGGAGCCGAGACGAACAGGGTCGTTCTCGTTCTTATCTCCTCGGCCTCTTTGCTCTCTTCTTATCCTCTCCTGTCTCTTATCTCCCTCTCAAGTCTCCATCTCCCCCTCTCCCGTATGAGCCCAACTGGCCAGCCACATCTCTCCTGCTCGATCTCTCCCCCACATCCCCTGTTGGTATCTGATACGGTCAGAGATAAATCCGCAACCGCACGGATATCACTGTAGCACTTCATCTTAGAGTATTCCAAGGGTATCGAATCACAGGGAACCTCTTTTTTCGATGCCCTTCTCAATGAGCTGTTGGAATATATTGGGTATTGTTTGGGACACCTCTTTGGCGCTGGATAGCATGATAATGGAAGCCAGAGATAGATACCATGGTCAGTGCTTTATGGAAAATTTTCTATTTGGGGCATGGAATATTTGGAAGCAAAGGAATGGTTTATATTTGATAATATTTACCCTTATTTGTCTTCTTGGAGACAACTCCTTAAGGGTGAACTCCTTTTGTTGTTTAGGTTGAATGAGAAGGATAAGAATGTAGTCATGAGCTATATTAGATTATTGTTTTTTTTCTTTTTATCTTGTACCTTATTTATTTTATTAATAAAGTCTTATATAACAGTGGGGGGCCTCCTCTCATGTTTTTTCTTTCAAAAAAATAATTATTTGTTGCAACAATGTTAAGTATTGCGATATGTTTTTTTGTCACATCGATTTTGTGGCAATATCGAAATTTGTTACTACTAAATAAAAGCTAATGCAATAACCTATTACCACTATTTTTATTAGCATGGTTAGTAACGATTTTAAAATGGTATCTATTGCCACAATTTAGCATTTTTCCACGAATTTTTTCAGGGCAAAAAAATCATGTTACTAGTAGTGTACCGATGATTTGGGTTCCTGTCAATACTACAGTATCCGATTTCAACTCTAGCTCGAGTGCTACTTTTCTCAATCAAAATTAGTTTCTCTTGTAAAACAATATCTATTCGGACATAGGAGTCTAAGAAAGTTCATGACCACATATTATACCAAGAGTTCATTTTAGAAAAAAAAAACATACAAATGGAAGTTAATATAATTAACTCAATTTAGTATCGTATTAATTTAACTCTTAAATTAATAACTAATAATTAACAATTTGTAACTGGTATGAACTCTTATTTTAGTCTATAAATCACTATAATTTAGAAAATAACAATGTATTCAATATATGGTTAAAATTTAATGTTTATAATATCAACAGTAATAGCTTGTGCAACGCATAGGTTCACAACTAGTTAGTTCTAATTTGTCTACTATGCATTATGTGACCCTAACTTTCAAATCTTTGCCTTTGCTTTTTTACTAGCAGAAATAGTCAAGAAATACCTATCCGATAAAAATATCACCTTCATTGAATAGACTCTTTGATATTCTCAGAAATTTGACAAGCAAGAACCAATCAACTAAATCAATCCATATACATTAAAAACCCTCTCAAACCTCTATCCACGTCATATTTTATTTCTTGCAAGTATTGCATAACTTTTAGGCATTTTAAGACAAAAAAGTGAGTGTTAATTCTTCTCCAAATAGAATTTCAATCAATTTAAGAAGTAGACGCTACCTTATAAGACAATTTTGCCACATCAGATAACACATGTAACTCCACTAGATCCAAAAGAAAAGAAAAAAAAACACCCACAGAAACAAAAAAACCATTAGCCAAAGGGTTACGTGCACAACTACAAAGGCATATACAAACAATATATAACAACACCAAAACAGAAGATCACAAGGCAAGAAATCATATTAAATACAACACGAAAAGCCACCAAGCATCAAGAGGCCTATTTAAATAGAATGCCATCCTATTTCATAAGATCAACCAAGGTTACAAGCCAAAAGCGTACATCAAGAAACTTTTATTCTCATAGTAGTTAAGGTGGATCCAAATATTGTATTTCCTTTCCTTTGTACAAGTTCAATCCTAGATAGTTACTATAGCAATTAGATCTATATTTTTAGCATGATCCATGGCTCAACTATTGGTAACTGATGTGCCAGTAGTTGATGGTATTATGGACATTGAAAATTATGCACCTGACATGGTGTATGTGGAACCTGAGAAGGAAAAACATGAGGAGCAGAATGTGTTGTCGATGCCAGAGGCCAAAATCACCAAGTTGGAAGAAGGTAAACATACGAAAGCTGGAGAAGGAAATGAGTTTCATCAAGAGGAGCTAGAATACTCAGCAGAGAATCCAATAACAGCGGGGTCAATTGAGGTGAGTGATTTAGCCTTAAGTTCAATTCAATCTATTCAATGTGAAGAGAGTGATCAATTGAAATTACTGAGAACTTATGTGGAAAGCGATGGCATGACAATAGTAGAAGCTAAAATACAGAAAGAGCAATCATCTCCAAAGGATATTGAAGTTGAGGTGGTCGGATTACAAGACATAAGTGGCCTTAAATTGGAGCTGGATGTTTTGGGACTGGAAGAACAAAATATTAGATGCTCACAGGTCGAAAAATTTCAGGATAAAACCGAATTTGTAGCTGACAAGTACCATGAGCGACATCTTGATCATGTTGAATTGGTAGTCCCAGGTAACGATAAGGAACATGATGCATTATATGTAGTAGAGCCTAGTGCTAGCTTGTTGGATGATGAAGGAACTAATTTTGTAGAAGATGATAAGTTGGCACATGCTAAGCTGGAGTCATTGCTGAAAAATGTAAGTGAAAACAGGGTGGAGTCCCTAGTGCAAGCAGAGGCCAATACAAATGAAACTGAGTTGCTAGAACCAGATATGAAGAGCAATGCTGACCTAAAGGCAATACGGATTGTCAAATTCAAAGAAAGTGATGATATGAAATTATGCAAAGAAGATTGCATTAGTGATTGTTTTGCAATGGAAGAAGATGACATGATAAAAGCGACATCAACAGTAAATGACAATGGGGTAAGTGTTGTAATTCATGAAGCTAAAGATGATAACAAAAATGTCTTTGAAGATCATGGAATGATAGAGGATAAAACTTACATTGTGCCTCAAAAGTACTTTGAGCCAGAAAAGTTTTCTATAGAATTTAAAAATTTGAATGGTGAAGTAGAGGAGGACAAGCAAAAGGAAATACTTGTGCTACAGGATAAAAGCAACATGATGCAAGATAAGAAAGATCAAAACAATTTGGAGCAGACAAACTCAAATGGAGGTGAGGAGGAATTGCAAGTGAAAGATAAGGATTTAGTGGCATTGGAGGTGGAGGAAAGTGAGCTTAAAGTTACAGGGTTAGTTGCAGTGAGTGATATTGAGTTAAGAACAACTGAAGCTATTCGATGTGAAGAGAGTGACCGAGTGAAATTGACGAGAGATGATTTGGAAAGCGATTGTTCGGCTGTGCATACAGACAAGGTGCTAAGAGATGCATCTCTGGGAAAGAACTTTGAGGAAAGTGGTGCAAACCTAGCAGCTGCAGACGATGACAAAAATCATATAGTGGATTGGGGGATGAAAGAAGAAAACTCTATAAGTTTGCAAGTAGAGACGATTGAGGATAAAACTAACTTTATGCCAGAAAAGTTCAGTGAGCTAGAAAAGGTTTATACAGGATGTGAAAAGTTAAATAACAAAAAAGAAGAGCAGGAGGAAAATGACAAAATTAATACACTAAAAGATGAGAAAGACCATAATACTTTTGAGCACACAGATTCTATCAAAGGAGAGGTGCAATTGCCGGATAAAGATAAGAATTTAGTGACATTAGAGGCAGAGGGAAGTGTGCTTGAAGTTATGCATTCAGTTTCACTGAGGTATGCTGAGTTAAGGTCAATTGAAACTCTTCAAGGTGAAGAGGGTGATGGGGTCAAATCAATGGATGATTTTTTGAAAAGTGATTGCATGATAGTACAAGCAAATGTGCACAATGAGCTATCAACTCCAACGAATGTTGATGTTGAGGAAGTTGACCTACAAGATGATGAGACATTCTATATAGGAGAGCCCAAAGCTGTTAAATTGGAAGATGTGAACGAAACCAACATTGAAGAGGATGATAAGATGGTTCTTGAGGAGGTTGAGTCACCGATAAAAAATGACAATAAGACGGTTCTTGTGGAGGTGGAGTCACCAGTGAAAAATGTTTGTTTGGAAACATTAGAAACTGAGAGAGACATTTTGTCAGAAGATGAGAAAGAGATGGAAGTTGGACATGTTAATGAATGCAGTGAAATTGAGGTGGGATTAATGGTAAAAGAAGTTGTCAACAAAATTGAATTAGAGGAGGCTGACTCAGAAACAAAGAGCAATGTTGACAAAAAACCCATTCAAATTCTTCAATTTGAACATATGGATGAAGCAGAATTTGGTGCCGATGATTCGAAAAGTAACTATTTGGCCGTGAATGCAGACAATGTGCAAAGAGATGCATCTCTAAGAAAGAACATTGAGGAAAGTAGTGCAAGCCTAGATGGTGCAGATGATGAAAAAAATGATATGGCATATTGCGGGATGAAAGAAGCAAACACTATGAGCTTGCATGTAGAGACGATGGAGGAGAAAACTAATTTTACGCCTGAAAAGTCTAGTGTGCCAGGAAAGAATTATACAGAATTTGAAAAGCTCAATGACGAAGGAGAAGAGGAGGAGCAAAATGACAAAATCGTTACACTAAAAGATGAGAAAGACCATAACACTTTTGAGCACACATACTCAATAGGAGGAGAGGTGGAATTGTTGGTGAAAGATGAGAATTTAGTGATGTTGGAAGCAGAGCGAAGTGTGCCTGAAGTTATGGATATAATTGCAGTGAGTGATGCTGAGCTAAGGTTAATAGAACATCCTCACTGTGAAGTGACTGATGCAGTGAAATCGGCGGGAGATTATTCGGAAAGTGATTACATGATATTAGAAGGTAATCTGCACAATGAGCCGTCAACTCCAACAGATGTCGGGGTTGAGACTGTAGACCTACAAGATGAGACGTTCTATATAGGAGAGCCCAAAGCAACTAAATTGGAAGATGAGGATGAACCCAATACTGAAAAAAATGATAAGATGGTTGTTGGGGAGGTGGAGACACCGATGAAAAATGTTAGTTTGGAATCATTGGAAACTACGGAAAATATTACTTCAGAAGATGAGAACGAAATAAAAGCTGGACATCTTTGTGAATCCAGCGAAAATGATATCAGGTTTCCGGAGAAAGAAGATACCAACAAGATTGATTTAGAGGTGGCTGATTCAGTTATGGAGGGCTATGATGACCAAAAGCCAATTAAAATTCTTCAATGGGAACATATGGAGGAAGCAGAATATAGCACTGCTGATTCAAAAAGTGACCTTTTGACCATGTATGCAGACAAGGTGCAAAGAGATGCATCCCGGGGAATGAATGTTGAGGAAAGTGGTGCAAGCCTAGAAGGTGTAGACGGTGGAAAAAATGATGTGGCAAATTGGGGGGTGAAAGAAGGAAATAATTTAATTTTGCAAGTAGAAACAATGGAAGAAGAAATTAACTTTATGTCTGAAAAGTTCAGTGATCCTAAAAAGTTTTATACAAGATTTGAAAAAGAAAATGACAAAATAGAAGAGCAAGAGGAAAACGACAAAAGTAGCACACTAAATGATAAGAAAGACGAGAACACTTTAGAGCACACCGACTCAGTCGGAGGAGATGTGAAATTGCTTGTGAAAGACGAGAGTTTGGTGACATTGGAGGCAAAGGCAAGTGCTCTTGAAGTTATGGATTTAGTTTTGGTTAGTGATGTTGAGTTAAGTTCAAATGAAACTCTTCAATGTGAAGAGAGTGACGGAGCTAAATCGACAGGAGATTATTTGGAGGATGAGCCATCAACTCCAACAGATGTTAAGGTTGAGGAAGTCAACCTACAAGATGAGACATTCTATATAAAAGAGCCCAAAGTTGCTAAACTAGAAGATGAGATGGAAACCAATACTGAAGAAAAGGATAAGATAATTGTTGTGGAGGTGGAGTCACCAGTAAAACATTTAAATTTGGAAACTGGGGAAAATATTAAATTAGAAGACGAGAAAGAGATGGAAGTTGGACATCTTAATAAATCTAGAGGAAATGAGATGGAGTTCCTAGTGAAAGAAGATGCTAAAATAACTGAATTAGCACAAACCAACTTAGATATAAAGAACAATGCTGACCAAAGGGCCATTCAAAATATTCAATGTATAAATATGGATGAAGCAGAATTTGTTACTGATGATTTGAAAAGTGACTGTTTGGCTATGCATGCAGACAATGTGCAAAGAGATGCATCCCTGACAAAGAACATTGAGGAAAGTAGTGCAAGCCTAGAAGGCGCAGATGATGAAAAAAATAATATGGCAGATTGCAGGATGGAAGTAGGAAACACTATGAGTTTGCAAGTAGTGACAATGAAGGAGAAAACTAACTTTATGCTTGAAAATTCTAGTGTGCAAGAAAATGATAATACAGGATTTGAAACGCTTAATGACAAAAGAGAGGAGCAGGTGAAAAATATCAAACTTAATCCACTAAAAGATGAGAATAACCATAATACTTTTGAGCACACATACATAATTGAAGGAAATGTGGAATTGCATGTGAAAGATGAAAAATTAGTGACATTGGAGACAGAGGGAAGTGAGCTTGAAGTTATGGATACAGTTTTAGTGAGTGATGCTGAGTTAAGGTTAATGGAACCTCCTCAATGTGAAGAGATTGATGCAATGAAATCGACGGGAGATTTTTCGGAAAGTCATTGCTTGATATTAGAAGCTAATGTGCGCAATGAGCCGTCAACTTCAACAGATGATGTGGTTGAGGCTGCTGACCTACAAGATGAGACCTTTTATATAGAAGAGCCCAAAGAAGCTAAATTGGCAGATGAAAACAATAAGATGGTAACTGTGGAGATGGAGTCACTAGTGAAAAATCTAAGTTTGGAATTATTGGAAAGTGAGAAAAATGTTATGTTAGAATATGAGAAAGAGATGAAAGTTGGACATGTTGGTCAATCCGATGAAAATGATGTGGGATTACTTGTGGAAGAAGATGCCAAGAAAATTAAGTTAGAGGAGGCTGACTCAGATATAAAGAGCAATGTTGACAAAAAGGCCTTTCAAATTCTTCAATGCGAATATATGGATGAAGCAAAATTTGGCACTGTTGATTCGAAAAGTAATTATTTGGCCGTGCATGAAGATAATGTTCAAAGAGAAGCATCCCTGACAAACAACGTTCAGGAAAGTAGTGCAAGCCTAGATAGTGCAGACGATGAAAAAAATGATATAGCAGATTGCGGGATGAAAGAAAGAAACACTATGAGTTTGCAAGTAGGGATGATGGAGGAGAATACTAACTTTATACAAGTACAGTCTAGTGGACTAGAAAAGGATTGTACAAGATTTGAAAAGTTGAATGATAAAAGAGAAGAAGAAGAGAAAAATGAGAAAACTAATACACTTAAAGAAGAAAAAGACCATAACACTTTTGAGCACACATACTCAATTGGAGAAGGGGTGGAACTGCTGGTGAAACATGAGAATTTAGTGACTTTGGAGGCAGAGGGAAGTGTGCTTGAAGTTATGGATACAATTTTAGTTAGTCATGCCAAGTTAAGGTTAATGGAACCTCCTCAATGTGAAGAGATTGATGCAATGAAATCGACGGGCGATTATTTGGAAAGTTATTGCACTATATTAGAAGCTAATGTGCAGAATAAGTCGTCAACTCCAACAAATTTTGAGGTTGAGGTTACTGACCTACAAGATGAGACGCTCTATAGAGGAGAGCCCAAAGCATCTAAATTGGAAGACCATAGTGAACCCAATACTGAAGAAAATGATAAGATGGTTGTTGTGGAGGTGGAGTCACCGCTGAAAAATGTACGTTTGGGATCAATGGAAACTAGGGAATATATTACTTTAGAAGAGAAAGAGATGGATGTTGGGCATCTTGGTGCATCCAGTGGAAATGATTTCCAGTTTCTAGAGAAAGAAGATACTCACAAAATTGAATTAGTGGAGGCTGATTCAAGTATAATGTGCAATGATGACCAAAAGCCAATTAAAAAACTTCAATGGGAACATATGGAGGAAGCCAAACTTGGCACCACTGAGAGAAGTGCGCTCGAAGTTATGAATTCAGTTTTGGGGAGTGATGTTGAGTTAAGTTCAATTGAAACTCTTCAATGTGAAGAGAGTGACCGAGCTAAATTAACGAGAGATTATTTAGAATGTGATTGCGTGATAGTAGAAGCTAATGTGCAAGATGAGCCATCAACTCCAACAGATGTTGAGGATGAGGAAGTTGACCTACAAGATGAGACGTCCTATATAGGAGAGTTCAAAGATGCTAAACTGGAAGATGAGAAGGAAACTATTAGTGAAGAAATCAATAAGATGGTTGCTGTGGAGGTAGAGTCATCGGTAAACAAATTATGTTTGGAAACTACGGAAAACATTACATTAGAAGACGAGAAACAGATGGGAGTTGGACATCTTGATAAATCCAGTGGAGATGAGGTGTTCTCGGTGAAAGAACTTACCAAAAAAAGTGAATTAGTGCATGCCAACTTGGATATAAATAACAATTCTGAGCAAAAGGCCATTCAAAATCTTCAATGCATAAAAATTGATGAAGCAGAACTTGTTGCCGTTGATTCGAAAAGTGACTGTTTGGCCGTGCATGCAGGCAATGTGGAAGTAGATGCATCCATGACAAAGAACATTGAGGAAAGTGGTGCATGCCTAGAAGGTGCAGACAATTCAAAAAATGATGTGGTAGATTTCAGGATGAAAGAAGGAAACAATATGAGTTCCCAAGGTGAGACGATGGAGGAGAAAACTAACTTTATGCTTGAAAAGTATAGTGTTTCAGAAAAAGATCTGAAAAGATCTGAAAAGCTCAATGACGTAGAAGAAGAGCAGGAGGAAAATGACAAAACTAGCACACTTAAAGAAGAGAAAGACCATAATACTTTTGAGCACGCATACTCAATCAGAGGAGAGGTGGGATTGCTGATGAAAGATGTGACTTTAGTGACTTTGGAGGTAGAGGGAAGTGCACTCAATATTCTAGATTCAGCTTTAGTGAGTGATGATGCGTTAAGGTTAATGGAAACTCCTCAATGTGAACAGAGTGAAGGAGTGAAATCGACAGGAAATTATTTGGAAAGTAATTGCGTGACAGAAGAAGCTAATGTGGACAATAAGCCATCAACTCCAATAGATGTTGAGGTTGAGGTTACTAACCTACAAGATCAGATGCTATGTATAGGAGAGCCTAAAGCAGCTAAATTGGAAGACCAGAATGAACCCAATACTAAAGAAAACAATAAGATGGTTGGTGTGGTAGTTGACTCACCAGAGAAACATACAAGTTTGGAAACATTGGAAACTAGGGAACATGTTACTTCAGAAGATGAGGAAGAGATAGATGTTGGACATCTTGGTGAATCCAGTGGAAATGATACAGGGTTTCTAGACAAAGAAGATACTAATAAAATTGAATTACAAGAGGCCGATTCAGGTATACAGTGCAACGATGACCAAAAGCCAATTAAAATTCTTCTATGGGAACATATGGAGGAAGCCGAACTTGGCACCGCTGAGGGAAGTACGCTTGAAGTTACGGATTCAGTTTTGGTGAGTGATGTTGAGTTAAGTTCAATTGAAACTGTTCAATGTGAAGAGAGTGACGGATCTAAATCGACAGAAGATTATTTTGAAAGTGATTGTATGATGGAACAAGCTAATGTGCAGGATGAATCTTCAACTCCAACATATGTCGAGGTTGAGGAAGTTGACCTACCAGATGAGACGAGCTACATAGGAGATCCCAATTCTGCTAAACTGGAAGATGAGAAGCAAACCGTTACTGAAGAAAACGATAAGATGGTTATTGTGAAGGTGGAGTCATCGGTAAAAAATTTGAGTTTGGAAGTTGCGGAAAACATTACATTAGAAGACGAGAAAGAGATGGAAGTTGGAAATCTTGGTAAATCCAGTGGAGATGAGGTGTTTCCGGTGAAAGAAGATGCCAACATAACTGAATTAGCGCAAGCCGGCTCGGATATAAAGAAAAAATCTGGGCAAAAGGCCATTCAAAATCTTCAACGCATAGAAATGGATGAAGCAGAATTTGTTACTGTAGATTCAAAAAGTGACTGTTTGGATCTGAATTCTGGCAGTGTGCAAATAGATGCATCCCTGACAGAGAACATTGAGGAAAGTGTTGCAAGCCTAGAAGGTGCAGACAATGCAAAAAATGTTGTGGTAGGTTGCTGGATGAAAGAAGGAAATACTATGAGTATGCAAGTAGAGATGATGGAGAAAACTAACTTTATGCATGAAAAGTCCAGTGTGCCAGAAAACATTTATACAATATTTGAACAGATGAATGATGAAGGAGGAGAGGAGGAGGCAAAAGAAAAAACTAACACACTAAAAGATGTGAAAGACCATTATACGTTTGATCACACAAACTCGATCGGAGGAGAGATGGAATTGCTTGTGAAAGATGAGAATTTAGTGACATTGGGAGCAGAGGGAAGCGCGCTTGATTTTCTGGATTCAGTTTTGATGAGTGATACTGAGTTAAGGTTTGTTGAACCTCTTCAATATGAAGAGAGTGATGGAGTGGAATTGACGGGAGATTACTCAAAAATTGATTGCGTAATAGTAGATGCTAATGTGCATAATGAGCCGTCAACTCCAATAGATGTGGAGGTTGAAGCTACTGACCTACAAGATGAGACATTCTATATTGGACACCCCAAAGTTGCTAAATTGGAAGACGAGAATGAAACCAATACTAAAGAAAACAATAAGATGGTTGGTGTGGAGGTTGACTCACCGTTGAAAAATATAAGTTTGGAAACAATGCAAACTAGGAAAAATGTTATATTAGAAGATGAAGAAGAGATAGAAGTTGATCATCTTATTGAATCTAGTGGAAATGAGGTGGGGTTCATCGGAGGAGAGGTAGACTTGTTGGTGGAAGATGGGAATTTAGTGACATTAGGGGCAGAGGAAAGTGCGCTTGAAGTTATGGATTCAGTTTCGGTGAGTTATGCTGAGTTAAGGTCAATTAAAACTTTTCGATGTGAAGAGAGTGATGGGGTCAAATCGACAAAAGATTATTTAGAAAGTGATTGCATGATAGTACCATCTGATGTGCACTATGAGCTTTCATCTCCAAGGAATGTGGAGGTTGAGGCAGTTGACCTACGAGATGAGACATTCTATATAGGAGAGACCAAAGCTGCAAAACTGGAAGAAAAGAATGAAACCAACACTAAAGAAGACGATAAGATGGTCCTTGTGGAGGTGGAGTCGCCGGTGAAAAACGAAGATAAGACGGATCTTGTGGAGCTAGAGTCATTTGTGAAAAACGTAAGTTTAGAAACATTTGGAACAGAGGAAAATACTATGTCAGAATATGTGAAAGAGATGGAAGTTGAACATTTTGATGAATCCAATGAAAATGATCTAGGATTCCTTGTGAAAGAAGATGCCCAAAATATTGAGTTAGAGGAGATCAACTCGGATAAAAAGAGCAATGCTGACAAAATGAGCATTCAAATTCTTCAATTGGAACATATTGATGAAACAGAATTTGGCACTGATGAGTCAAAAAGTGATTGTTTGTCCGTGCATTTAGGCAAGCTGCAAAGAGATTCATCCGGGAGAAATAATGTTGAGGAAAGTGGTGCAAGCCTAGACAGTGCAAACGATGAAAAAATTGATATGGCAGATCACGGGATGAAAGAAGGAAACGTTGTGAGTTTACAAGTAGACATGATGGAGGTGAAAACTAACTTTATGCCTAAAAAGTGTACTGTGCCAGAAAAGGATTATACAGGATTTGAAAACCTTAATGATGAAGGAGAAGAGCAGGAGGAAAATGACAAAAGTAACACACTAAAAGATGAGAAACACCATAATACTTTTGAGCTCAAAGACTCAGCCGGAGAAGAGGTGGAATTGCGTGTGAAAGGTGAGAATTTAGTGACATTGGTAACAGAGGGAAGTGCGCTTGAAGTTATGGATTCAATTTTGGTAAGTGGTGTTAAGTTAAGGTTAATAGAACCTCTTCAATGTGAAGAGAGTGATGGAGTGGAATTGATGGAAGATTATTCGGAAAGTGATTGCATGATAGAAAATGCTAATGTGAACAATGAGTCGTCAACTCCAATAGATGTTGAGGTTGAGACTGCTGATATACAAGATGAAACGTTCTATATAGGAGAGCCCAAAACATCGAAATTGGAGGAAGGGAATAAAACCAATACGGAAGAAAACGATAAAATTGTTGTTGTGGAGGTGGAGCCACCAGTGAACAATTTAAGTTCAGAAACACTGGAAACTAGGGAGAATATTACGACAAAAGATGAGGAAGAGATGGAAGTTGGGCATCTTAATGAATCTAGTGGAATTGAGGTAGGGTTCCTCGTGAAGGAAGATACCAACAAAATAAAATTATTGGAGGCCGACTCAAATATAAAGAGCAATGCTGACAAAAAAGACATTCAAATTCTTCAATATGAACATACGGACGAGTCAGAATTTGGCACTAATGATCCGAAAAGTGACAGTTTGTTCGTTCATGTAGACATGGTGCAAAGAGATGCATCCCTAGGAACGAACATTGAAGAATGTGGTGCAAGCCTAGAAGCTGCAGACAATGAGAAAAAGGATATGGCGGATTGTGGGATGAAAGAAGGAAACACTACAAGTTTGCAAGTAGAGACGATGGAAGAGAAAACTAACCTTATTTCTAAAAAGTCCAGTGTGCCAGAAAAAGTTTATACAGGATTTGAGAAGCTAAATGATGAAGCAAAAGAACAGGAGGGAAACAATAGAAGTAATACACTAGAACATGGTAAAGATAATAATACGTTTGAGCACACGAACTCAATCAGAGGAGAGGTGGAATGGCTGGAAAAAGATAATAATTTAGTGACATTATTGACAGAGGGAAGTGCGCTTGAAGTTATGGATTCAGTTTCGGTAAGTGATGATGAGTTAGGGTCAATTGAAACTCTTAAATGCGAAGAGAGTGATGGGGTTAAAATGACGAGAGATTATTTGGAAAGTGATTGCTTGCAAGTGGAAGCAACTTTGAAAAATGAGGCATCAACTCCCACGAATGTTGAAGTTGAGACTGTCGACCTACAACATGATAAATTCTATAAAAGAGAGCCCATAGCTACTAAGTTGGAAGATGAGAATGAAACCATCGTTGATGAAAATACGGTTTTTACAGAGGAGGGGATACCGATGGAAAATGTAAGTTTAAAAACAATTGAAACAGGAGAAATCATTATGTCAGAAGATAAGGAAGACAATAAAGTTGGACATGTTGAACCGAGTGGAAATGAGGCAGGACTCATAGAGAAAGAAGATGCCAACGGAATTGAATTTAAGAATGTTGAGTCAGACATAAGAAGCAATGCTGACCAAAAGGACATTCAAATTCTCCATTGCGAATATGTGGATAAGGAAACTAACTTTACGTCTAAAAAGTTCAACAAGCTAGAAAAAGTTTATATAGAATTTAAGAAGTTGAATGATGAAGTAGAAGAGGAGAAAAATGATAAAAGTAACATACCAAAAGAAAAGGAAGATAGATTTACCGTTGGTCACACTGAGGAAAGTGTGCATGAAGTTATGCAATCGGTTTTGGTGAGTGATGCTGACTTAAGGTCAATTGAAACTCTTCAATGTGAAGAGAGTAATGGAGTGAAATCGACGGGAGATTATTTGGAAAGTGGTTGCATCATAGTTGAAACTAATGTGTGCAATGAGCCGTTAGCCCCAAAGGATGTTGAGGGTGAGGTAGTTGACCTACAAGATGAGACATTCTATATTGGGGAGCCCAAAGCTACTAAATCGGAAGATCATAATGAAAACAACACCGAAGAAGAAGATAAGATGGTTTTTGCGGAGGTGGAGTCACCGGTGAAAATTGATGATGAGATGGTTCTTGCGGATGTGGAGTCACCAATGAAAAATGTAAGTTTGGAAACATTGAAAACTGAGGAAAACATTATGTTAGAAGATGAGAGAGAGAAGAATACTTCTGAGCACACTGACTTAATCCGTGCAGAGGTTGAATTGTTGGTGATAGATGAGAATTTAGTGACATTAGAGGCAGAGGGAAGAACGCTTGAAATTATTAAGTCAGTTTTGATAAGTGATGCTGAGTTAAGGTCAATTGAAACTCTTCAATGTGAGGATAGTGATGGAGCGAAATCAACAGAAAATTATTCGGAAAGTGATCACTTGATAGTAGAAGCTAATGTACACATTGAGCCATCCATTCCAACAGATGTTGATGTTGAGGTAGTTGACTTACAAGATGATACGGTCTATGTAGGAGAGCCCAGAGATGCTAAGTTGGTAGGCGAGAATAAAACCAAGATGGAAGAAGATGATATGATGGTTCTTGCGGAGGTGGAGTCACCGGTGAAAAATGTTAGTTTGGAAACATTAGAAGCTGAGAAAGACATTTTGTCAGAAGATAAGGAACATATGGAAGTTGAACATGTTCAATCGCATGAGAATGAGACTGGATTCATAGTGAAAGAAGTCAACAAAATTGAATTTGAGGAGGCCGACTCAGATGTAAGGAGCGATGTAGACCAAAAGGCCATTCAAAATTTTCAATTCGAACATATGGATGAAGCAGAATTTGGAATTGAAGATTTGAATAGTGATTGTTTGACCATGCATGAGGACAAGCTGCAAAGAGATGCATCTCGGGGAAAGAACCTTGAGGGAAGTGTTGCAAGCATAGAAAGTGTAGACGATGACAAAAATGATAAGGCGGATTGCGGGATGAAAGAGGGAAACACTATAAGTTTGCAAGTGGAGACGACAGAGCATAACACAAACTTTATGTCGGAAAAGTCCAACAAGCCAGAGAAGATTCATACTGGGTTTGAAAAGCTAAATGATGAAGTAGAAGAACAGGAGGAAAATGGCAAAAGTAACACACTGAAAGATCAGAAAGAGAATAATACTTGTGAGTACACTGACTCAATTGGTGGGGAGGTAAATTTACTAGTGATAGATGAGAATTTAGTGACATTTGAGGAAGAGAGAAGTGTGCTTGAAGTTATAGAGTCATTTTCGGTGAGTGATGCTGAGCTAATCTCTATTGAAACTCTTGACTGTGAACAAAGTGAAGGAGTGAAATTGGCGAGAGATTTTTCGAAAAGTGATTGGATGATAATAGAAGCTAAAGAGTATAATGAGCCATCAACACAAATGGATGTTGAGGTTGAGACAGTTGACTTAGAAGATGAAACGTTCCATGTAGGGGAGCTCAGAGCTAGTAAGTCGGAACATGACAATGAAACCATCATTGAAGAAGACGATAAGTTGATTCTTGCAGATGTGGAGTCGTCGGTGAAAAATGTAACTTTGGAAACATTGGAAACTGAGAAAAACACTATGTTAGAAGATGAGGAAGAGATGGAAGTTGGACATGTTGTTGATTCATGTGAAAATGAGGTTGTATGCCTAGTGAAAGAAGGTGGCAACAAAATTGAATTTGAGGAGACTATTCAAATTGTTCAACATGTGGAAGAGAAAACTAACTTTGTGCCTGAAAAGTCCAGTGTGCCAGAAAAGGTTTTTACAGAATTTGAAAAGCTGAATGACGAAGTAGAAGAGCATGTGGAAAATGACAAAAATATCATACTGAAAAATAAGAAAGGTAGGAATACTTTTGAGCACACAAACAAAATTGGAGGAGATATACAATTGTTAGTGAAAGATAAGAATTTAGTGACAATGGAGGCTGAGAGAAATGAGCTTGAAGTTGCGAATTCAGTTGTGGTGAGTGATCCTGAGTTAAGGTCGATTGAATCTTTTCAATGTGGAGAGAATGATGGAATGAAATTGACAAGAAACTATTTGGAAAGTGATTGTATGATACTAGAAACTAATGTGCACGAAGAGTCATCAACTTCAAGTGATGTTGAAGTTGAGGCAGTAAACCTACGAGATGATACTTTTCATATAAGGGAGTCCACAGCTGCTAAGTTGGATGATGAGAATAAAACCAACACTGAAAATATATCGGTCGTGATGCCAAATAAACTACAAAAAGATGTGAAGCTTTCTCTCGGCAAGAAGATCGTTTCCGAAATCTCCCAAAAGCCAATTAATGAAGATGTGGTGTTGTCAAGTGAACAAGCAATGGAAGGAGATAAGAAAATAGAGCTAGACGCCAATATAGAAGGGAATATAGTTAGAAATGATATAGAAATGGTCACCCACAATTGTGAAATATGTGACAATTGTGCTAATACAATGGAAGAAGATACAAATGGAAGCTCCCATAATAGTCCAACACATGTCATGGATAGCTCAAATACTTTGATATATATTATTAAGGAAGCAATAACCGGTGATGAGGAGGGCATAGACTCTTCTATATTGGTGACAGATCTACAGCATGTAGCTAGTGGATCTCATGGAGGAAATATGTGCCCCAAGTATTTTAGGAGTTCTGAATCTAACTCTTCATCTCGTACATGCATCTCCAGTTACAATGATACTAAGATGGAATATAATTTTACTGATATGACTGTGACGAAGAAAGATAAGAAATTGCATCAGAAACTTGAGTTGATTACAGAGAAGTTTCTAAACCTTTTGTCTAGAATGGGAGCAAACACTATGGATTTTAATCTTGATCATCATCATCATAAGTCCTCTCAACAATATCATGACAATCAAAAGGATTTGAGCTTCTCATGCAATATACTTGTCCTAGGAAAGATTGGGGTTGGTAAAAGTACAGTTATAAATTCCATCATGGGAGAAGAAAAAAACAAAATTAATGCTTTTGATGGTGCTACTACTAATGTGAGACTTGTTTCAAGTGTAGTGGATGGCATAAAGGTAAACATTATAGATACCCCTGGACTCAGGACCAATGTGATGGACCAAGGATGGAATAAGAAGATTCTTTCTACAGTCAACAGTTATACCAAAAAATGCCCCCCAGACATTATTTTATATGTGGACCGCTTGGATAGTTGGAGTAATCATTTTGACGATATCCCTCTTCTAAAGACTATTACTACTATCTTGGGAACATCAATATGGGTCAACACTGTTGTTACTTTTACTCATGCTAATTCTATACCTCCTGACAACTCTAACGGCGATCCCATGACTTATGAAACATTTATAGCACAAAGATCTCATATTGTACAACAATCCATCCAACAAGCAACAGGCGATATGTGCCTAATCAATGCATTTTCTTTTGTTGAAAACTACCTGTACTGCAAAAGGAACTGTCAAGGCAAGAAGGTGCTTCCCACTATCCAAAATTGGAGGAAATATTTGTTGATCTTGTGCTACTCTACAAAGGTATTAATTCAAGTTAACTGCTTTGTGAAACTCTAACATTTTCCTCACAAACAACACACCCGTTTTTTTCCATTTTTTTGATACTCATTCATATCATCATCTTTATTACAGCCAAAGTATCAACCAAAGGCATCAATTCATCATAAAGGCCTTAAAGAGGATTCTTCTATTGAAGTTGATGACTACTCTGAGGTATGTGATGATGAATATGAATATGGTCAGCTACCTACTTTGTGGCCTTTGATGAAAGCACAATTCGATGAGTTGATGAAGGATAAGAACAAGGATGAGTGTGCCTACCATGTCAAGCTTATCCAAGGGATGCAATTTAACGGAGTGACCCAAGGTAGTATGCCTTGCGACAATGATCTAAATCCTCTTCAAAAGAATAGGATGTCTCCAATACTTAATATGGTAATTGAACCATCATTTGACTTTGATGATCCTCCTACACATCAATATAATTTACTGGAGCCAACATCAATTATTACTAGAAAGCATGTTTTAGGTGCTCATACATGGGATCACGAGTACAATTTTGATGGTGCTAGTCTTGAAAAAACTCTTGTGCTTCATAAGCCTACAAAATGCTTTGAAGCTACTTTAGTTGAATTCTCTAAGGACATGAAGAAATCTAGAATCCATTTTAACTCTTCATTCAGATCAAAGCATGTGGACGATGCATCACATTGTCTGGGATATAACATACAAAATGCTTGGAAGAAACTTGCATATTGTATTTGGGGTGAGACTACAACCAAGGATACTAAGCACAAGACTGTTGGTGGACTTTCAGTAATGTTCTTGGGTGACACTATGCTTACTGGTGTGAAGATTGAGGACTACATTTCTGTTGGAGAAAGTCTAGCACTACTGGTAAGCATAGGTACAATGCAAGCTAAAGGAAACACTGCATATGGCGTTAACATGGAGTCACGCCTGAAAATAAAATATTATCCAATTAATCGGTTAATGTTGTTCTTCGGTTTATCTCTGATTAAATTGCATAGTGCAATTGCTTTGGGCATTAACTTGCAGTCACAATACTTACTCAGAAGGCATTCTAAGATGGCACTTCACATTGGCCTAAACACTCTGCGTAATGGACAAATCAATCTAAAGATGAGCACCTCAAAGATGGTTCAGATAGCACTCTTGGGGCTTGTTCCATTGGCAACCTCCATGTATAAGAGCTTTGTCCATTCCGCGGAGCATAATTAGCTTATTAGGTGGTCATGAGGGAAAACTATTTTCTTTCTTTGTTATTACTTCTTTCCATCTTAGCATATTTTCCTATTTACTCAACCCTACTTTTATTTATTTTCTTCGGAGGATGTGTGGAGTTCTGCAGTTTATATTGTGCTGCCAATGTAAAATTGTAGTGCTTTTGTTGTAATATAAGCTTTTCTTAAAGTTGTCATCTATCACTATTGAGTTATGTGAGATGTTTCACACTGTCAAATAATTACTCTGATTTCTCAATTAGCTAATTTTTGATAATTTGCAGAGTTGAAGGATTCAGTTTATACCTTGTTATCTGTTTAAGTATCTTGTGAAACCATTACTTCTCTTTTATCAAATTTATATAGTTGATGGATAGCTGCCTATATCTTGAGAGAAAACTACCTACTGTTTTATGGAATTTGTCGTAGTTCAAGTGGTCAAGTGGGTCTTCCCATGGTTTTCCAAGAAATTACGTCTTTTTATGAGTACAATATTTTCTAAAAATCTTGCTACATAATTGTATAGCCTTTAGACTTAATTAGCGACCCTCAGCTCTACCATAGTTTGATTCTTCTTTAGTTACAGTGTTCGAAACAAGAAATAAGATATCCATGTCTTATGAACATGGTACTTATTTATTTCTTATTTCCAATTTTTCAAATTTAGAAAGTATTCGTAATTCTGAAGTTGGTTGTTTGAATTTAGCTAACAGCATGATACATACTTGGGCCAAAAAAATGCATTACAGCTATTATTTTGTATTGTTTATTTGAACTTCTTTCAAGAATTTCAATTTCAGGAAGTTCAACAATGTGAAATCCAACCGATCAATAGTGAGCATCAAATTGCAACAAAAGCAAATCATGGAAAATACCCACGTGTAAATTTTATGTCTTTTTTATGGCAATGTATCCTATACGCACACTGTGATACACTCCTACACTTGATCATTATAGGCATTTCAATCTTGATCAAAGAGATGGGATGGAAGCAAGACATTTTTTCACAGAGCCACCCACATCCTTCATGCAAAATTCGCAGATAACCTCTTCTCCTCTTCTCTCGTTGAGGGCTTTCTCAAATTACTAGTTATGTGGGGCCCCAATATCAGTGGGTGGTGGTGGTGGCAGCACCACAAGGAACTTTTAAAGGAGTAAAGATAATCCCCAAATCGCCTACTCATGAGGATGGTGACTCAAATCACCTCAACAAACTTCACGCGCTGATGTGCTGTGCACAACAAATCAAGATTACTGCATACCATAATCACAATGAGTGTTTAAAGACTGTTCTGATCGGACAAGAACATGGTGAGGAGGTTGCCATACCAAGATGAAGTTGGTCATGTCAAATCGAGGGAAAAAACAAAAGAAAAATAGCGAAATGGATGCTTGTGTATATATTACATAAATGTACATAGCACTCCAAGAATCCTAGATCGCAGTTTCAGCTTTTAAAGTCTGAAACCATGCCATGCTTGTGAGATTGGAACCAGAAACACTATGTACATCAAGGTAATTTGTACTGAATAATCTTGGATACTTCTTGTATCATGGATTGAATGAATACCCACACTTCGGTAGCTTTGATAGTGTGCTTCCTCATGCTTGTGGACGGAAGTGCATCACCAGAGTCTCCTCCGCTGCCGCAACGAGCGCCACCAAATCCACAACTGCGAGAGGCGGACTAGGGAGATGATGAGGACACAACTAGCTTGGATATAACCATGACTACCTTATGTATTAATCAACCAAAGGTGCATATGTGTTATATTAGATTTACTTGTTATATATTTTTTTTGACCGGGATACTTGTTATATATTTGAACAATCGTTGCTACACAACGAGTTTAATGTGTTTTCGTTTGCAGAGGTACTTGCTTGGGCGAAAGAAAAGAAACCGAGCATAACGAATGCATGGATGATCAAAGAAGTTGATTGGGGACCAAAACAAGACCTTTTCCAAGTCTACTACTACCTCACCACATCACTTTTGGTCCATAGAAGACAAGAGATAAAGTTCTACACGTTTTGGATTTGGATTCGGGCCTCCTGACACCATTAACTTCAAACAGACCTAGCCACTGATCTAGAAGGAATTTCGGGGCCCATGAGTACTTGTTGGAAAGCTTATGGAGTCTGCACAACAAACCATATGCCTCATCCAGTCCGAATCTAATTTGGGTTTTGGGCCCTGTAATTGTGTCGTGGGTTTAGCCCAAGGGGTGTGCGCCCTAGGGCAACACTAGGATGTCCCTAATCATATTTATTCAGTAGCCGTCATTGTCTAAAGTGGGGTTTTGCTTAGATTATTCTGCTAAGAATAGTTTTGCCGCTAGATCGGTTTGTAAGACCCCAACTTGTGAGCTTAATCATTCATCTACAATTTGGTTGTATTTTTCTTTGTTCTTGTTTGTGTTCTTCGATTACCAAATAGGGATTAGCCTTCTCGGCGAGGTCAACCGCGTTTCGACATGGTTGATAACCAGAGGAGACGTGGTGCTGCGATTGCGGGGCTCAGAGCGTGTTCGTTCAGAAGCCGAATCAATTTGTGTCGCGACTCCGCCCAAATTGACTGTTTATCAGAACCTTTCGGAAGATCGGGAACCCTAGTCCACATCAAGAGAAGGATCAATTTAATGTTCAGTTTGAGGGAGGACCATGCACAGGGAGGGCATCATCAAGCGTTGTCAAGTTTGCTGATATGATTCGAGTTGCCACACAATGAGGAGGGACGAGATTTGGGGAATCAATCTGAGGAAGGCCTGGACTAGACGAGAGAAGATGGTCAGAAGTAAGTGGGTAATCTGTGAATTTTGCAGGGAGGATGCGAGCGGCTCTGTAAAAAATTGCCTTTGCTCCGTTCCATCTCTTGGATCAAGATTGAAGGGCCCATAATGGTCGAGTGCAAGATTTCAAATCTAGAAACCTTCATGAAGATTGCAAGATGTTTAAGATTGAGGTGGCTGTGGTTCAAATGGGAAGACGATACAAAACCTTGGGCTGAGATGAAAACCTCATGCAATGCAATAGACATCACATTCTTCCGAGTAAGTACAACTATTTCTCTTGGAAACGGAGAATGCTTCTTTTTGGGAGATTATTGGCTAAAGAATACTATCAAAAAACTCATACCTTCAAGAAAGTACAGCCCGTCGACACTATTGCCCACCTTTTCTATTGGTGTATATCTATTGCCAATTACAGCTCATTCCATATATTTTAGCTTTATATGATATTTTACCTTTTGCCCGAATTTATTCAATACTTAAGTGGTCAATACATGTCGGCAAATTTTGCTACATGACACCTAAAATTTGTGTAATTTGCTGATAGACATTGAAAAAACGTATCGCAGCTAAAAGTCATTGTAAAGACTGGTAATACTTTTGGCTCAATTGGATTGATAAATTATTAGGAAATATGAGAATATCCCTAGGACCATGTGCTTCAAAAATGGCGTTAGAGTAAAATTTTTTAAAAAATATTCAACTCTAGTTTACCATCACCCCAAGTACATCACTGGTATACATCATATTTCATCTTCACTCTAGTCTTAGGTCAAAAACTTTTGACCCTAAGGGCATTCTTATCTTTCTGAAGAATTTCTCTCTCTAATTGAGCCAAATTATCAGTTTTTTAAGTGTATTTCAGCCGTGACATGTTTTTACTATGTCTACCAGTAAATTACGTAAATTTTGAGTGGTTGAATCGTTCACGAACTTGCCTTCCGTGATATTTATGAACCAGCAGTAAGGGGTGTCACTAGTACAGATCCTCTCATCTGTAACGGCCTCTAATATGCCTAGAATTAGCGGGCCGTCACAAGGAAGTCATCTTAATCGGACCGAAAAAACGCCCGATTGAGATATGGTCATAAAACTCAAGTCCGTCACGGATGACACCTATCTGTGACAATCATATCTCAATCGGGCATAAACTTCATCTGTGAAGAGCGCCAACATGAACCCGATTAAGATAACAATTGGGCCCGATAAAGACCAGCAGCAGGGTAGCCTGCGCGGCCTGCACCTTGTAATATATTCTCATTAGGGGATTCAAACCCACGACCACATGAACAACTAGTGAATACCCCGCGCGTTGCTGCGACACTTTTATATGATAAAAGAAAACTTTAGGCGTAACATATATCTAGCCAGTTGTATACCTACATTTGCACTATTCTAAATTTATACATTACTTCAAGCGTCAAGTACACTTGATTGTTGTGATTTAAATACACCTTGCAACTATTAAAAAACTTACAAAAAATTCAATAATTAATAGCAAGATGGAGTTACGCATTTTCTGATGCTTGCTTCAACTGAGTCAGGTCATTGGAAGGAAGATTGTTCATTCATCCATGCTAATGAACTTAGGCTGACATGCATCATTCCGATGCTAACATAGATATAGGCTTGCTATGAAATAGCAAGTAAACTTTAATTAGTACCCGATAATAAACTTAAAGAATCATTGCCGTATGAATGAATATCATAGAAAAAATAGTGGTCGTATAGGGAGCTTAGTTGCTCATTGCCATGAAGCAATATCAACAGGATCAATGTCCATATAAGCAATAGAAAAACTGAAGAACTTCAGATCACGGTGAGCAAAAACCAATAAACAAAGAACACATGTGAAAGAAAGAAAATAGTAACGTGAATATTTATGAGTAAAATAAAAAAAATAATTTAAATTGTAGGCCGAGGAAAGGAACACACCACAAACCAAACCATGAAGGAATGACTGTAGCATGGCATTGACAGCATAATACATCAAGAAAACCATTAGTAATTTGAAGGGATCACATCCATTGCATCCACTGGTTTCACAAAGAATATGTTTTTATCCTATACGATGGCTAAGACATGCCATTGTGGAGAGGCATATAAATAGTGAGGTGAAAGGGTAGGTGAAAGGAAAGGTCGAGTCAAGAAATGCAATTGATGAATATATGCATATAACTGTTTAGTTTATTGGTGGTAGTAATTAAGATAGAAAATTAAGCGATGCATGCAACACAATTATCATGGGAGTTAATTGTTTTGGGGCCAGCCTCCTCGCTGGGCTAGACTCACTTGATAGATTGTAGTCTGCAGACTGAAGCTACATCTAGACTAATTACAGCCTTGAAATAAAATCTAACGGTGGTGAATAATTCTGGTGACGTGGATGCACCACAAAACAGAAAAAAAGTAGTAATTGCACTTAGTGGGGATCAACTTTATAGGTATGTAGGATATCTAAGGACCAACCACTGAGCCACTCAAGTGTTTTGTCATCTGTTTCAGTAACTAAGAAAACATATTTTTAGCTCAGTTTGTATGTATGAAAACATTAGAGCTTTCTAGCCTCTAGAAGTGCAAATACATACTTTATCCGTTTCATAATGTAAGACTTTTTAGCATTGCTCATATTTATATAAATGTTAATGAATCTAGACATATATATGTGTATATATTCATTAACATCTATATAAACGTGGACATTGCTAGAAAGTCTTACAATATGAAACGGGGGGAGTACTTCACAAGTCTAAGTCCATGTATATCTTTTGGCAAGACACATGCTGCTACATGTGTTGGATAGATACATGCCATCCAAATAATAAATTAGTTTTAGTCTCTTGTTTTTAAAATTTTCTTATTTACAAACCTTTTATAATTTACCTTGTTCACGGCACTTCGTATTTTTCTTAATAGGCCATAGCTTGAATCTAAAGTGCTGCAGTTAAATATCTACAGAATGTTGCACATCATGAAAATCAGGGTATGCTTCTCATTTCAGGCCATAGCTTGAATCTAAAGTGTATGCAGTTAAATCAGAATGTTACCCAAGGTTGAAGCACCACAGAACACGGACTGTTGCTGGAAGACAATTTTCTTGTACATGTGTTTGATGAATTGTAACTGAACACATTTAATTTTCCTATGGACCATTTGTATATTTCTAAATCCGATTTGAATGAATTTGTTGGTACTGAACTTAGATGGACTATTTATGTAAACTTTGCAAACTTGAATTTTGATGTATGAATTGAGATTGATGTTCATATATTTATCCAAATTGCTAGCAAAGGCTTGAGGCTAGCTAAAAAAATAAAATTTATTTTTTTTGGTGGATTATACTCATCCGTGACGGGCATTAACTCAGAGCCCGTTTGAGATGAGAGTCATCTGTGATGGGCTATACTTTAGGCCCGTTAGAGATGAGAGTCATCCGTGATGGGCTATACTTTAGGCCTGTTAGAGACGAGAGTCATCTATGACGGGCTATAGTTTAGGCCCGATTGAGATAAGAGTCATCTGTGACGGGCTATAGTTTAGGCCCGTTAGAGATGAGAGTCATTTGTGACGGGCTTTTGTGTTGGCCCGATTGAGATGTGCGTCATCCGTGACGGCCGGATGCCCGATCGAGATATTTTACCACATCAGTGACTTTTGCTTAGTGACGGGGACTATACCCGAAAGAGATGAGGCTTTTAGCCCGTTAGAGATGACCGATCCCGTTCTAGTGTGTGGATCGATGTTTAGACAGTGACAATTGCAATTGCAAGTTGCTACACCCATTAATAGTTTATGTACCATGTGCTCAATTTACTTTAAAAATATTATATCCACAACTTTCACTTACTTTAATTCCACCCCTCTTTATTTCTTCAGACCAGCCAGCAGTTAATCCTGAAACCAGGTCAAAAACAGCATTAAAAATGGAAAGGTAAATGGGCACCCTCAATGTGGTTAAAGCATGAGCTTATATTACATTCGACGTTTTCTGTACTAGTGTCGGACAACAACACATCACTCATGGCCTCAAACTAGATTATCAGTATCCTTCGAAAAACGGTGGCGGTGGCGATTGGTATTTTGCTGACAATATTGGCGGGAGGATGACGGGCTCTTGAATTGGCGGCGGCGGGGACATAGTCGGCGGTGGCGGTGGCGGCGGCGAGGAGACAGGCGGTGGAGGAGATGTCTTGGGCGGCGGCGGCGGCGAGAAGGCAGGCGGTGGAGAGAACACTGGCGATGGCGGGGATACCACCGGTGCCGGTGGTGGCGGGGATTGTACCGGTGCTGGTGGCGGCGGCGGCGGCGGTGAATGCTTTGAGCTCTCCGGCGCTGGCTTCTTCGCCGGCGCCGGCCATCCACAGGGCTTGGTCTTGCTGCAATCCACCGGATGGCTCACGACCGGGGCACATTCACCGGCACTCCTCTGCATCGGCCTCACGTTGCCCATGCAGTTAGCCTCGTCCTCCAACGACTTGTCGAGCTTCGCATCCAGCAGCGCGCTGCTGCACTGGGCGTCTTCCCCGGCGATGAAGTTGTACGAGACCGACAGGTTCGTCAACGCCGGCAGCCCGCAGACGTCGCCCGGCACAACGCCGGTGAAGGTGTTGTGCGACAGGTCAAGCTGCTCGACCTTGGCCAGGCCACCCATCGTCGCGGGGATGGCGCCGGTCAGCAGGTTGTGGCTGACGTCGAACACCGTGGCGTTGGCGAGGAGGCCCGACTCGAGGGGCAGGCAGCCGGTGAGGCTGTTGTTGAGGAAGACGAACTGGTCGAGCGTGGCGGCGGCCTGGCCGATGGTGGGCGGGATGCAGCCGCCGAGGTCGTTGTTGGCGAGGACGATGACCGACGCGGTGGACCTGCCGATGGTGTCCGGGATGCCGGAGGTGAAGCGGTTGTTGTTGAGGAAGATGGCGTCGTAGGGGCGGAGGAAGAGCTCCGGCGGAATGGGGCCGTCGAAGTCGTTGAACCGGATGTCGAGGTAGCTGAGCTCGGGGACGCGGAGCACCGCGCCGGGGAACGCGCCGACGAGGCGGTTGTTGCTGACGTCGAGCTCGTAGAGCCGCGTCATGTTGGCGACCTCCTCCGGGATGACGCCGCAGAAGCGGTTGGAGTTGAGGTGGAGCACGGCGAGGTCGGACAGGAGGCCGATCTCCCTGGGCAGGTAGCCCGCGACGTCGGCGGCGTTCATGTCCAGCGACGCGACGGCGCTCGCCGACGCGTTGTCCGGCGACGGCGCGCAGAGCACGCCGTTGTAGGCGCACACGTCGGGGCCGGCCCAGTCGCCGGTGAAGTTGCCGGGGTCGGAGTAGAGCGCCCGCTTCAGCGCGTGCAGCGCCCTGTGCGCCGCCGCCAGCCGCGGGTTGCTCACCTTGATCTCGATGTCGATATCGATGTGGACGTGGTCGCCGTGCTTCTCGAAGTTGAGCAGCTGGCGCCGCGCGATGGCCGCCGCCTCATGGCTGGTCACAGCAAAGCACGACGAGGAGAGGAAGGAGAAGATGACGGCGACGAGGAGGAGGAGGGGCGGGAATGGTGGGAGGGTGCCCATGGTGGTTAGGAATGTCTCATCAGCCTTGGCCGAAGCCAATGGCTAAAGAGAGGAGGAGGTCATGGAGGGGGGAGACATCGCAGCGTGATGTTTGGAGATCGAAGATGATGAAATGTACTATATAAGGAATTGGTGTTAGTTAAGTGTTTGGATGGTTAAGAGGATTTAGAGGAGTGGATTGGTTTTGTGTGAGTCATGCAATGAGATTGTGCTGTTGTTTGCCAAGTATGGTAAATCGTTTTTGTTTCTTCAGTTAGGTTGCTATAGCATTAAGGGCATCCACAATATAAGAAATAGAGAGGATTCTAAGCCATTGAGATCTACATATTCGTTGTGTAGGTGATTCTTATAGAGATCATTTGGATAGGTTACCACTAACCATAAGAGCAAGGTAAATAGTGCAGCTGGTAGCTAGCTCCAAAATTTTGACAGAGCTAACTTAAAAACCAACTCATACAACAAGCTAGCTATAAATTTGCTATAAGCTGCCTTGGTTAAATCATAAAAACATTAAATACTTATGTGGGTATATCCGTACTAATCTCTATCTTTGTGGCTATTTTGATACACCATAAATGCACACAATATGATCAATACCGACTCAGGAACATGGTTTCAGACAATAAATCAAACGGTCACAGAGATTGAAAAGTTAGCTATTCAACGAAAGGAATACTGAAAACGAGCCACACTTAGTTCTTGATATAATTAAAGACTAAAAACCACACTATGTAATTTTTCAAGACTTAACAAAAGACATTGACCAACTAAAATGAGATAAAAGTTCTTAGATTAAACACATTGACCAACTGCTATCTTGCTCTATTGCTGCGACCAACTCTGATTGTCATATATGTCGGGAAGTATTGAACAGGATATAATTAAGACTATAGATGTAAAGATTAAAAAAAAAGTAACTAATATAAGTGTACTTCTAATTTCAGGAAGTTAATATCTTGGTCATTTTTTATGGTAGTAGTACTGTTCTGTTAATTCCAGTAAGGTATTCGTGAAATTAATAACATTATTTGTGAAAGAAGTGCATCTTTCATTCAGTGGACAATGGAGTACATATGTTCCTGAAACAAAACAGATATAAAGGTAAATTAAAATGCCCTATATATGAAAAAATAAAACTGCATCATCATTCAATTTGTTCCTTTGTTAGTAGGTGTTGTTTTCACTTATCTTGCCAGGTGAGGTTACTCCAACAGGCAAGTCAATCCAAGCAAGAATATTCAGCAACCAGCAAATATGTTATGTATGTATACGAAGGTTGATAGATACTAATCAACTTGAGAATCCACATTATACATAATAGCAACAGCAACCTCACAGATGAGCACCAATACCACCACCAGTTGGATCAGCAGATGGGAGCAGATGAGCGGAAGTGGAAGAGGATCGAGCCGAGCCTATTGTACCTTCGAGAATTTAGGCAAGCTCGGTTCAAGCTCGAGCTCAGCTATAAGTAGTATAATATATATTTTAATGATAATCTCTTGATAAGTATAATTATTTTTTTAAGTTAATCACACTAATAAAAGAGTAGAAAGGACTAATATAAATATAATATGCTAACACATGCTAATTTGTTGTGTAAATAGATACTAATATATATATATATATATATATATATATATATATATTACTTTATTAATAAATTAATAAGGTGAACAAACAATATGGACTGTACAAAGTCAAATGATAGGAACTCAAGCTCGGTTCGGAAAACTCGCGAGCTTTTGCTTAGGCTCGGGTTCAGCTCATTTGGAGCTTGAGCCGAGCTCAATCGGGCCTAGGACGAGCCAAGCTCAAGCTACTTGCGAGCCTCGAGCTTTTTTGACTGCCCTAATCAGGCGGGTTCCTTGTGGGACCCACATAATGCTTTTTTTAATCGCCTTCACGGGCTGCATGCAAACTATACGGCGTGGTACTTCCACTACTAGAAAAAACGGGCTTTTCGCAGGCGGGCAAACCTTCCGCATGTATATTAACGACCGTAAAAATCTCCAATTTTCACAGGTGGACCCCAGCACCGCCTGCGAAAATAATTTTCGCAGGCTGCATTTCGAATCTTCCTGGGTGCTACAGTAAACCACCTGCGAAAATACTCACGGCGCCAAAAAAAAAATTTCCGCCAGCCCCGCCCCCTCCCTATTCAAATCACAAATTCTCACAAATCTCATCCAAAAACAAAATTCAATCCAAAAATCCATACATCAACACAAAGCATTGGATTCAAATCCACAACATCAATTTACAAGTTAACATCAATCAACATGTAAGCTTTAAAACGAAACGTCGTCGTCGCCGGCAAACTCCTTTTGCATGCGGTGCCGCCGCCGCCCCCCTCCCCCCTCTGTCCGGATTTGGGAGGGAGGGAGGTGTTTGCCGCCACCACCGCCCTCCCCTCTCCTCGTAGGGCCGGATCTCGGGAGGGAGGAGAGGGGAGCCGCCTCCGCACAGCCATCAACGTCCGTGCCGCCGTCGCCTCGTTCGCACCACCGCCGTTGCTTCCCCTCCTCCGGCCAGATCTAGGAGCGGGGAGGAAGAGAGGGGGAGCCACCGCCACCGTCGCCCCCTCGCGTCCGCGCCGTCGTCACCGTCCACGCCGCCGCGTCCGTGCCGCCGCTGTCGCTCCCCCTCCTCTGGCGAGGAGGGAGAGAGAGGGAGCCGTCGCGCCGCCGTCGCTCCCCTCCTTCGGCGAGGAGGGAGAGAGGGGGAGGGAAGAGGGATGGAGGGGAGGAGAGTGGCGCTGAGAGAGAGAGAGAGAGACGCTGAGGAGAGGAAATGAGTGGTGGGGAGGGGTGGAGGAGAAGATAAGGAGGACTTAGATTTTTTTTTTGGGTAAGTATGATTTTTGCAGGCGGACCACATAAGGTTCCGCCTGCGAAAATCAATTTTTTCGCGCAGACCACTTAAGAGGTCCGCATGCGAAAATAAAGGTATTTTTTTAGGCGGACCTCTTAAGTGGTCCGCCTGGAAAAATTGATTTTCGCAAGCGGATGACGAAAATTCACCCCGGTTTATATTTTCGAAGATGCTTCATCGACGACATCGACTGCGTCCTCTATGACAGCAACGACCGCGTCACCGACGACGGCATCGATCACGTCATCTACGATGACAATGACTGCATCAACTCCGCATCACTATTGTGATGACTGTTACACGGCGTAGAAGAACCAACCAAAGTGGTGGCTTCATCGCCAACGACGTCCTCTAACATATGCAAGACGTCCCCAATGGCATCCTCTGACATCTACAAGGTGCAAGATGCTAACAATTACAGTTTTTGTCTTCACACTGTGGCATAAATATTTTTTTTCACCTTCGGCTATATGCGGCTACACCTACAACCACGGTTACTACATGATCGGCTCCATCAACGAACATCTATAACAACAATCATTGATGGAAACTCTAGTCAAAGCGTCTGTGTCATCGCTATCATCCATGACACTCCCGCTATGACTACGTGAGGGAATAGATAAGAGTCAAGGGACGACACGGAAGGAGACGTAGGCACCAGGTGGAGGACCATCCATCAAAGATGCAATTGATGATGGTGAGTTGAAGAAGATGAAGAAATAAAATATTTCAAATCCAGTCGCAATCATTCGCTTCGCTCCCGTTACGACTGAGGGGGAATGTTAGAAGCATAGATATATTAATTGGAGATAAGAGTCATACAAATATAGAGATAAGATATCATCCTAGAGATAGAATCCTAGAGATAAAATATAGTCCTAGAGATAAATCTACTCTTACTTGTACCCCTATATATACCCCATGAGAGGATCAATGCAATACACCGAGAATACAACAATTAGATTTTTCTACGGTTGTAACTATAATACGCTGTAATATGCTGGATCGGGGAAGAGCGCCCGTAATCAGTGCCCCAGAGATGTAGGTCTCGGTTGAACTCCATTATCAAATACCGTACCTCGGTGTCGTCATCATGTTTGAATCTTCTATGACGTTTCTTTTGCATTCGGTTTTCGATGTGACTTCGGGGCTGGTTTTATAACAATGATTATAGTGCTGTTGACGGCAATCGGTTGTGAGAATTAGCTATTCGGGTCCCTCCATGTGATTTTCTTGTGATTGGGATGTATGGTAATGCTAGGGTTTTAAGGTGTAGGATTGGTGCATGAGAGATCATCACTTCACTTGTATGACCTTCTCTCCTTTTATATTTTTTTATCATTCTCTCCTTTTTTTTATAATGCTACTGAACTAGTGGAATACAGGGGACTAATGCAAAATAAAAGAAAAGTATCACTGGTCACGGCATATAATTTAGAAAGTGTGTGATTTAGGCATAGGGCTGACCATGACCCTTTACGACTTGGTCGCTCGGTTTGTTAGACGATAGATCAACCAACAAAAGCTACGATACATGATGTACGTGTCAGGATACAAATCCTTACAAATAACAACAGTTATTGTTCGATAACTATCAGTTGTCTAGGCTTACCAATGTATAATAGAAGATGAAAATTCCATATTACTGGTATCGTTCAATGCTAGTAACTCTTTGAGCTTTGTCTAGGTTAAAAAAAAAATTATGGATCCACCATCACAAAAATGAAAAACACCGGGGAAAACAAAAAACCATTTGATAGCAGCACAAGACAAAATGATGTTACCGTCTACCCGAGCTCCTACTCCGTACCAGCACAACCAAACGAACAGTACCCGCCGGACCAGGGGCACGTTCGTAAATTTCCCTCCCGTGGCTGGCTGGCTGCCATCTCTCTCAACCAGGGTTGGTAATTTCGGCCGTTTCGGTGGGTCCCGATAGTAAATGAGCTCCGGTCAAAACGCCCTCCGCCTCCCCTCATTGCGCCGCACGCACACCGCATCTAGATCCAGATCGAAAAAATCGCTATCTCGCCGAGTCGCCAGTCACCGCCTCGACGCCGGTCGCCGTACCGCCGGCGCTGCACGCCCCCCTCCAAGCCGTCGCCCCATCGCCCCCAGCCGCCCAGTGGTGGGGCGGCGGATGCCGAGCTTGGCGAGGTTGCCGAGGACGAACCAGGCGAGGAGGACGAGGATCTTGTCGACGAGCCAGAGCGGGAGCCACGCCATGAGCAACACGGCGAGCTCGAACGTGGACTTGCCGAGCACCTCGCCAGGGAGGACGTGGACGGCGTCGCGCACCACCATCGCCGGGAGGGCGCTGTGGTCGCACAGGTCGAGCGACACCACCATGCCGGAGTTGCCGCACCCGACGACGAGCACCTTCTTGCCGCGGTACGCCTCGCCGGACTTGTAGACCGCGACATGCATCACCTCGCTGCTATATTTGTTCTTGGACTGTGGAGACTTGCTGTCAGTGGGTGTGTTCAGAATTGCTGCTGCAGCTTGCAGCGAATTTGTGATGCAGCAGCTGCAGCTTGTATGGCTGCCGAGTAGAGCGAGTGTTGCTATCTGTTTTTGTTCTCTTTTTCAGAAATTTCGCCCGCAAATTTTAAATTTGAATTCAAATTTTTAAAAGAACTAGAAAATATGCCCGTGCGTTGCACCGGGTGAATATCAAACAAATATTGATGGGTAAGATTGCTTGTGTACTTATAACACATATGCACAAAAATATTGAATATGTACATACCTCGCAAATATCTCCAAATTTTATACATATGAGTTGTGTAAATCATGTGAGTTCCATATTGTCATGTTAATATGGAGTATTACTGATGAGCCCATCTATGGTGATAATTTTGGAGGTTGTAGCTCAACGAATTTGTATTTGCTATGTATCTCAACGTTGATAAGTCACTACTACAACCATCGGCGACCTTTCTCGGGATCCAAGCATGTCGACCCCGCCAACGTGGCGTCGGTGCAGGGCACCGAGATGAACACCACGGGGCTATTTGCCTGTCCAGGGTCATCCTAGGCTTAAGGCCACGACACTCAAGGACGTGGTAGGCGGCGTCACAGAGGTGCTCCCAGCGAACAAGCTGGCCACCAAGGAGGACGCCGACAAGGTGGCGGCCACCGCTATGCAGAAACGATGGGAGGCATGCCGGTGACGACAAGGAGCTAACACGATCCATTTAGTCCCGATCCGAGTTTATCAGGAATTCAATCCTGCACCGTGCGGTTACGTTTTTCTTTTCCGCGGGAAAAGCAATCACCGATGGTAGGGACAAAGTGCGTGTGAGAACAGAGGCCAGGCCAAAGTGCGTGCGAGAACGGAGGCTAGGCCATCGCTGGATTGGATTTACGAATGAAATATCGATGTGACGAACAGAAAATTATCAGTTTGATTTAATTTTCATAATCAGAACTCTTTAATAGGAAAAAAATTACATGTACGTTCCTTCATCGTGCCCATGTCCATCTGGGAGTCCAGGTTTATTCACAAAGACCCAATCAACAGCCAGGAATCCATGTCCTTCCCCGCCGTTCCCTACTCTGCTTTTTTTTCTTTCATTTGAAACCTTCCGCTATGAATTTCTAGTCGTTCCTAGCATCCACGCACACAAAATAGATTTCCCTCGCAAGGCAAAACATACAAATATGAGTGCATGCAAGATATTACAAACCCAATCCATTAAAAATAGAAAATAATTAACTTTAGCCTACCTATCTCAATATTGGTATATGCCCAAACTCAAAAGGAGAAAAACCAAACTAAAACTTTTAATAAAGTGAACCCAAGAGATAAAAAGGTGATAGTAACAACAAAATCTCACTTGACAATGTCGTTAATCAACACTGTTTTTAAATATTACTTAAAAATCTTTATATTTACCTATTAAAACAATGAAAAACAGAAGATGTTTCTTTTTTATTTACAACAGCGTTGTATTTAGTCATGTCCTATCTAAGAGAGAAAAATGAATTTAACGAAAAGAAGCTCAGAAAAAAAAAGAGAACAGGGCCACCACACCAGTAATCCCTATGTTATCAATGAAAAAAAATTTCAATGCTAGGTTTTTTATAAGAAAAGGTGATAAAGTGTTGAAAAAATACAGCAGGAAATTATATATCTTGCTGGTTTAACATGAATTCAAGCATATAGATATAAAAATATATCAGGCTAGGAAAGGAAAAGGATAAAATTGGAGAGAAAAAGGAAAAGAACAGTAGAGGATAACCAGCAAAAAGATGAAAGGATTCGAACCCATGACCTAGCGGTACAATTGTTTCACAGGCTAACCAATTGAGAATCATCGACGTTGTGTCATCTTGTGTAGCTACATTTGAAAAAATATGTTTTGAGCTGAACGTTGGTGTGTCCGCCCCTGCATCCGATACATGTTGGAGCGTGGAGCGCGGTAAAGAAAAAATCCTATCGAACCTTATCTCCTTCTCTCTCGTCGCTTTCTGCGTCTCCCCGTCTCTCCTTCGCCAACAGCCGAGAAGAGGCAGAGAGAGCGCCGCCCCCCGTCCCTCTCTCTCCCTCTCGTCCTCGCCCCCATCCCTCTCGTCTTTCCCTTGCCGGCAGCAGAGGAGGCGGCAGCGACGGCTTCAGCTGCTCCCACGGGCCGGATCGGGCAGTGGCGGTGGCGTCGGCGGCTTCCGCTGGCGAATCCGGCGGGTGGATACAAATCAGTGTTCCGATAGGTAAAACCCTGCTCTCAGCATCTGCCCTTTTGAATTCGCCAAGAGCCAGCATCTGCCCTTTTGAATTCGCCAAGGGCCAGCATCTGCCCATTTGATTTTGAATTCGCCAAGAGCCAGCAACAGCGCCCCCGCGCCCCCTCCCTCCTCCGCAATAAACAGCCACACGCGCCGCCCCCATGTCCACCCTCATCGCCACAGCGCACCACCACCACCACCACCACCACCACCACCACCGTCTCCAGCCATGGCCTCCTCCGCCTCCCTGCAGCGCTTCCTCCCCCCGTACCCCCACGCGGCAGCATCCCGCTGCCGCCCTCCCGGCGTCCGCGCCCGCCCCGTGCAGTCGTCGACGGTGTCCGCACCGTCCTCCTCGACTCCGGCGGCGGACGAGGCCGTGTCGGCGGAGCGGCTGGAGCCGCGGGTGGAGCAGCGGGAGGGCCGGTACTGGGTGCTCAAGGAGAAGTACCGGACGGGGCTGAACCCGCAGGAGAAGGTGAAGCTGGGGAAGGAGCCCATGTCATTGTTCATGGAGGGCGGCATCAAGGAGCTCGCCAAGATGCCCATGGAGGAGATCGAGGCCGACAAGCTCTCCAAGGAGGACATCGACGTGCGGCTCAAGTGGCTCGGCCTCTTCCACCGCCGCAAGCATCAGTGTATGCCTCTCTTCTCTTGCTCCTCTGATCAACACATTTTCTTGCTTTCGTTCGGTTATTTGTCGCGCCGAGGAAGTTAATTCGCCAAGATATTCTGCAGTTTTTTTTCTCGATGCACATTCAGCAACCTAATTAAGACTGATTAAGTTGCTGTGATTTTTATAGCTTAATTACGGTCTCGTGGGTAATGACTATTTATATTGAGTAAACATGGTTACCTTTGATCCAATCACTTCACCTCCATGTGCCATATATAGCCACAGGCTCTACCAAGTAACACTAGTAATATGCCTGTGATACGCCACGGTGGCATAATAAATCATTAAATTTTATTATAATCAAATTAAGGATCCTAAAATTGGTCCAATTGGGTGTTAATTCGATGCAGGTCATATAAAAATATATTTTAGGCAAGGTGCAATTCAAGAGCATCAACCATTATATCCAATCACTTTAATATATATTTGAAGATAACATATGTCGGAAAAAAAATGATGGAGAGCTATTTCATTAACTTGTGAGCATAAACAGATCACCAGATGATGCCACCATAAGTCCCGCCACAGTAAGTGATGCAGCTCATCTTGCCCTAGGCGTTCGGTCTAACCAGTAGATAGAAAGAGTACAACATAGATCGAATGAAAAAAAAAATCTCCAGAAGAAAGCTCAACCACATTGAGTAAATTAGAGCAACAATCAAATCGAGTCAGCATATCGTTATGTTAGCAGAACCAATCACCACAATTTGTTTCTCCTCTTTATCTAAGTGTTTTGCCAGGTTAAAAGCATATATCACTATGTTCCAAGCAAACATCGGCAATGGACATGTCAAAAATAAATGATCAATTGTTTCTTTGAGTACAAAATTGACAATGGACACTATGTTCCTTTGTTAGAATTCTATTTGTCAGGGTAGGATGTAGAAAAACTTAACTTTTAGAGGAAGCTTAAATATCCGGCATAAACTTGCTTTTTCAGCGCTCTATAAAATAATTCAACAGTGAATTGTCCATCTTTTCTAAGTGCTCCAAAAGACACTAAGTTGAAAAACCAGGTGAACCAACAGATTGATCCACAAAATCTTATTATTAGATTATTCACTTAAAAGCCTGTCTTTATTTCAAACATATAAAAACAGAAGTTATTAATCAGGGAAGCGCTTATGGCAGCCTGAGCGAACCAGTGATAGCAAGTGGTGAAAACAGTAAATAGGATACATAAAAATTATACAAGGTTTCTACTGTTTATCAAAAAAAAATATTTGAAAACAGTAAATAGGATACATAATCGACTTCCAACTTGTCCTTATCATAACATCCAGAATCACAACAAGAATTGCAACGAATACATAGTCGACTTGAGCTAAGAAGTCACAAGACCTGTCAAAGTAAGCTGCCCTTGATCTTGAAGTGAAAGGCATATTTTATTGTCTTCCTTGGCAAACAGATATCACTGTCTTCAGCAGTTCAGTTAGATAATCCAAGATTTCTCACGGAGAAGAGCATATCACTCGCATCAGTGTTGTGCCCTCCAAATACTGAGATAAACTGAATTTTGTTCTCTTTGAAGCATCTGCAGGCATTAACAATTATAATACTTTACAAAGTTTCATTGGGTCTAAACTATTGTTTGCACATCATATATATGCCCAGAACTTTTTAGCATGATACAAGGGTCCTGTTCATAACTCATGCCTAAATCTGACAAATTTGTCAAACGACAATATAAGTCGAATTATAATGCGTTTTAGAATTGACGCCAAAACTTTTGCTAGCGTAAGTAACTCTTCCACCTCCCAGCATGCATACAACCAACAAGCTAAACTTTTGTTCAAAAAAATGTACATTTATTTCCTTGAACACAGCCTTTGTAGAATATGATTAAAAACTCATGGATGAATGAAATAATGTAAAAGAATGGTCAAAATGATGAATAGTACAAGAAGCAACTGTGAACATTTCACCTTTACCTGACTGTTCGCAAGAAGGCCACGTGGCAGAAAAGCCAGAAATGCAAGAAGCTTCCCTAATTGATACACCATCAAGAAATCAATGGACTCAACACCAGCGTCTGCCCAGACAAAATGAATGCAGGCACCTAAAATATAGAACCATTGACTTTTCAACACTGAATTATATAACCTGAATATCTTGTTTTTTTAACACATCTGACAAAATCAGTGCATTCTGTTCCATATAGATGTATGCATAGCTCCCATATGTTAGTTGATCGATGAGCATGCAAACTATACACACCTTACGTTACTCCCTCTGTCAAAAAAAATATAAGCTTGTCTAGATACATAGCTACAAATGCTTATATTTTTGGATTCTCTTAAAGCTGTAGAAACTTTTATCGCCCCGCCATGGCAAGTCGAGATGCCATCCCCAATGAAAGCCCCCACACAGGTTTCATGCCCTGCTGCACAATATTGAGCAACCAAAAATATAATAATATTTGTGTCAGAATTTGAATCAACCTTACAGATACTGGGTGGCCAGAAAATCTAGTCCAAGTAATATCCTGAAAAATAGCAACTGGCAAATACTAAAGGCAGTGAAGAGTTTCCTTTAGATCAGATGATAAAAAAAAATCATATGTTCAATAGCAATAATCACTCACATTTTTTTTGCTGTTTAGAATTTAGATAATTAGTAGTTAAACTTCTATAGCTTGCGTAGCTAAGATCAATGGTGATTATTAGTTGAAAAAATAATCAAATCATCAAACTGAGGAGACTTATACCTGCCATAAGTTCTGAAATTTCAATGATCCTAGTCAATATTTACTGTATATATAGAATTAGGTCCAAAAGATGATACTTACAATTAAGGATGTTGTATTGATCGGTTCATAACTCAAGCTTCTATTTATCATTAATCAAAAGCTGGATCATTCATGCATATACCTTTGCCGCACTCAACGTAGCAGCTCGGAGTCTTCTTTGTTCAGAAGCGAGGAAGGAGTCAACAAATAAGTACTGCAATGTTAAACAAACCGACATATCAAATCCCAAATTAAGAATGCATGATTTATTAATACAGGAAATATATGATCAAGTCCCAAAAAGTGAGTCATGTTATGTACACTCAGTCATCAATTTCAATAAGAATATTAACTTGCTCATTGGTATATGGATTTGATTATGACATAATTTGACAATACATTTACAGAATAAACTTGCAGTGCTGTGAGCATATGTTACTAACATGTAAGGACCTTGTTTTGCTCTGTTCAATACTCATGTTGATCTTGATCTGTGTCCACATATACCTAAATGAAATGAAATCAAAGAATGAGGTTTGTAGGAGTGGAGTTGGTGAATTATAGGGTAGATAATGTCGGCACAACCGTTTGATAAGTAGTACGAGTACTTTATTTGGCGCCACCGCGCCAGCATCAGATGTGTGGCCTTTGCACTGATTGAATCCAAAAGAAAAAAAAAGTCGTTTTGGTCCCACACAATTCTACTTCATCTGCAGGATGTACAGAAGGTTACATATCTATTCTGTTCTATGCTCTGTTTACATTTATATTTATAGTACTAGGTTGAAAGGGCTCACTTGGTGGCTGTCATTGGTTGGCTGGTGCGGTATATTACTAATAGGTTTTTTAATGGCATATATGTTCTTAAAATAAACCAGAAAAGCAAAAGATCAACTATCTTAGCCACACCAATGAAATGGAATATACTGAACTGTCACGGCTAAAATTCTCTTCAGTCACCTGGCCCAACTGGAGCCGTGGGCTCGTCGTCTTTTCTAAACATGTACTAGTATTTTGGGGGCCCACAGTGAATTTGGCCCAAAATGCTGACAGCCGCTCTACGGCTCTACGCTGTGCAGATGGGCGGTTCATGATGCGGCTGAAGCTGCCAAACGGTGTGACGACGAGCGAGCAGACGAGGTACCTGGCGAGCGTGATCGAGGCGTACGGCAAGGAGGGCTGCGCCGACGTGACAACCCGCCAGAACTGGCAGATCCGCGGCGTCACGCTCCCCGACGTGCCGGCCATCCTCGACGGGCTCAACGCCGTCGGCCTCACCAGCCTCCAGAGCGGCATGGACAACGTCCGCAACCCCGTCGGCAACCCGCTCGCCGGCATCGACCCCGACGAGATCGTCGACACGCGATCCTACACCAACCTCCTCTCCTCCTACATCACCAGCAACTTCCAGGGCAACCCCACCATCACCAACCTGTGAGTGATCGAATCAAATTGATCATGCTCTGTGCTGTGCTGTTTCGTGTCGTCTCTGACGACATGTTTGTTGAATTTGTTGTTGCTGCGTGCTGTTGGCAGGCCGAGGAAGTGGAACGTGTGCGTGATCGGGTCGCACGATCTGTACGAGCACCCACACATCAACGACCTCGCGTACATGCCGGCGGTGAAGGGCGGCAAGTTCGGGTTCAACCTCCTCGTCGGCGGGTTCATAAGCCCCAAGAGGTGGGAGGAGGCGCTGCCGCTCGACGCCTGGGTCCCCGGCGACGACATCATCCCGGTGTGCAAGGCCGTTCTCGAGGCGTACCGCGACCTCGGCACCAGGGGCAACCGCCAGAAGACCCGCATGATGTGGCTCATCGACGAACTTGTGAACCATTTTTTTCTCCATTCATCCACGCCATTGACTGAATTACGTATGTCCCAATGTTCTTATCAGTTAATTGCGGTGTTGGCATTGCAGGGAATGGAGGCTTTTCGGTCGGAGGTGGAGAAGAGGATGCCGAACGGCGTGCTGGAGCGCGCGGCGCCGGAGGACCTCATCGACAAGAAATGGCAGAGGAGGGACTACCTCGGCGTGCACCCGCAGAAGCAGGAAGGGATGTCCTACGTCGGCCTGCACGTGCCCGTCGGCCGGGTGCAGGCGGCGGACATGTTCGAGCTCGCACGCCTCGCCGACGAGTACGGCTCCGGCGAGCTCCGCCTCACCGTGGAGCAGAACATCGTGATCCCGAACGTCAAGAACGAGAAGGTGGAGGCGCTGCTCTCCGAGCCGCTGCTTCAGAAGTTCTCCCCGCAGCCGTCGCTGCTGCTCAAGGGCCTCGTCGCGTGCACCGGCAACCAGTTCTGCGGCCAGGCCATCATCGAGACGAAGCAGCGGGCGCTGCTGGTGACGTCGCAGGTGGAGAAGCTCGTGTCGGTGCCCCGGGCGGTGCGGATGCACTGGACCGGCTGCCCCAACAGCTGCGGCCAGGTGCAGGTCGCCGACATCGGCTTCATGGGCTGCCTCACCAAGGACAGCGCCGGCAAGATCGTTGAGGCGGCCGACATCTTCGTCGGCGGCCGCGTCGGCAGCGACTCGCACCTCGCCGGCGCGTACAAGAAGTCCGTGCCGTGCGACGAGCTGGCGCCGATCGTCGCCGACATCCTGGTCGAGCGGTTCGGGGCCGTGCGGAGGGAGAGGGAGGAGGACGAGGAGTAGGAACACAGACTGGGGTGTTTTGCTTGCTCCGGTGATCTCTCGCCGTCCTTGTAAAGTAGACGACAATATGCCTTCGCCCATGGCACGCTTGTACTGTCACGTTTTGGTTTGATCTTGTAGCCCAAAAGTTGTGTTCATTCTCGTTACAGTCTTACAGAGGATGATTGATTGATAAATAAAGAAGAAACAGATTCTGCAACTGTTCATCGCTGTTCCTAAATCTGATTTAGCGAAAGTATCTTGCCTGACCTGTCCCAATCGCAGTGCTAAAACCATATAATCTTGCAAGCAAATGAAATTGAAAGAGTTCAATGCAACCACTAACAGTCTAACAACATGATAAGGCCTCCGCAACCAAGTCCCGTGTCGTTACGTCTGCAAGGTGGATGTAGTTTATCCATAAAAAGCCCTCCAGATCAATGCCCCAAGAACACAACTCCGTCTCTCACCTTCAATCAAACTACAGAAATCTGAACCAAAAATCGTGCGACGCGATGGAAGGGAGCAACCTCAAGTCGGCTGCGCTACTGGAGCAGTTGCATGTCCACCTCGCGTCCGGCGCCGGCAAGGAGCTCGTCGAAATGATCGGCTTCGTCTACCAGCTCAACATCTCTCCCAAGGTAATATACCCATCTCGGTCAATCGACTAGAACATCGTGAATTTCCGTGCGATCTGTCCGAGAGATTAACTAGGTACGTGCGGCGTTGCACCTGTGGATTTTCTCTCAGAAACTCGGTTTCGACGAGGAGGTATTCATCGTCGTCGATCTCAAGAAGGGCGTCGTCTCCAAAGGTAGAGCTTTGTCCGTCGACTCTGTCTTTGTCTGTCGCGTCATCGTACTGAATAAGCTCTGTTTTTGTCAGGGCCGTACGAGGGGAAGCCAGACGCGACCTTCTCCTTCACGGACGACGATTTCCTGGCCATCTCCAGCGGTAAGCTGAACCCTCAGATGGTGTTCATAATGTGAGATTGGAAATAACTGTTTGATTCAGAGATTGATTAGGAAAAAGAATTAGGAGTTCTCATGACGATATCGTGCGTTCTTGCAGGGGCAAATTGAAGATCAAGGGGAGTATAAGCGCGGCGCAGAAGTTCACGCCGGACATCGATCTTCCCCAAGCCATCCAAACTGTAGGGTTGAGTGGAGTTCGACAATTAATACAAACAGGCAGTTGGAGTAGTAATTTTAGTCTGAAAAATAGTTCAGAGATGTTCTTGTGGTACCATAGAGATGCTGTTGGCGTTCCCCTCGAGCTTGTTTTCATAAGATGCGGAAAATATTGGACTGTCCAAATTCTTCTACCGCGATCTTACTTTCTAAACAACAAATTGCATGAGTAAAGTATTAACATGTTACCTATCCTCACCGTTGGGGACGTAGCTCATATGGTAGAGCGCTCGCTTCGCATGCGAGAGGCACGGGGTTCGATTCCCCGCGTCTCCATCGTCTGTTCGATCCACCATCTGTTTAATGTCGCAAACACAACTAATCCATTTTTTTTTTTTTGCCGGTGAGTGCAGTGTGACGTCCAAGGCATGGCGCATTGGCGCCTCCTCTCTTCCCTTCGATCTTTTCATCTGTTCGTTCTTCTTGCAGAAAAGCTGTTCTGTTGAGTCGGTTCCGATCTGCTCTTGGGCTCTTGCCAGAAAAAAACCTGCGTACGCCAGGCTTATCAAGCCAACCATGCGAGGAGCTTATACTACACGCCTTTGACTCCAAAAGGACCAGGAGGCTTGCAGCCGCATGGAAATAAGCCGACCGATCCTTTATTTATTGCTTTATCTATCGTGTTTCCTTGGAATAACAAACAACCCAATAAAAATCTGTATTGGATGAAGCCATGGCTAGCTGTTCGCGGTGTCAGTTCTCGGGAGGCTAGCGTGTTTTGTTTGAACCGGAATGTTCAGGGCGGCTCACCATAGACTTGGAGCCAAGTGGTTTCCATCCACAAAATTTTTCTCATCTACGAAATGTGCTCAGGAATTTAATGTGCTACTGCCAACGTGCTGCATGGAATTTGCTGAAATCGTGCTAAAATGTGCATGGCAAGCGGAATCCGTTTTCATTTTAATTGACGTTTTTGACAATGACACGATCCACGAAATATATCTTTGACCTTATTTTTTAATTATAATATATACAATAAATAAATACATGTTTACTTTATTATAGTGCTTCGAAAGACCAATATATATACGTTATTATAGTTTCTTTAAACTAAATATTTAAAATTATTGATGGTCAAAGTTATAAAAGTTTAACCTCAACCTTATCCAAAACATCAATTATAATGAAACCGGAGTAACTGACTAGTAATATCTAACATTCGTCTACGTGGAAGAGAGAGCGCTAGAGAGAGAGAGGGGGAGAAGCGGACGCTTGCATGGGAGCCGGCCAAGGAAAGCGAAGTTTAATAGTATAGCCAACTACTAGCTCCAATTCATCTATAGTCAAGCTAATAGCTCATTCATACAATAGTTACATACTTCACTATTAATACCTGGTCCCACCTGTCATATACACACTGCGTCTTGGAGTCCGTGCTATAGCTGGCTGCAAATCTGTAGCCTGATGCCCTTCTCTCTCCTTATTTATCTCATTAAAATATATTTACAGCTGGCTTATAGCCTGCTATTGTACCTGCTCTAATACCCCAACTCAATCACTAGACCGCTGCATGTCAATATTCCCATATGGTCCAAAGGGAGCAAACCTAGTGGTCCCACACACACGATGGTTCTGTTAAGACGCTCATGGATGTAAATTGGAGCCGGTACTTACTCCACTATTAAACTAGATGATACCATGCGCTTTGCTGCGGGATATTTAAACACTTGTTGTAAAAAAACATACTTTATAAGGTATGAACATGTTGCAGCAGCTTTAACATCCTATTGTGCTTTTTGCAAATACAAAAGATATAGTGTAATTATAACAAAAGAAAAGCTAAAAATAACAAAGTAGTTGTGAAGGTAATTAATCCATAAATAGCCAACAAAAAAATGTTTGTCTATGATGGTGTCGTCCATAAATTAGGGAGGACGTAGTGGAGTAGATACATACTTTATCAATTACAATTGATTATCACATAAAAGAACTTTAGACCAAATGGTTCATTATGGGAAAAAATTGCTATCATTGCAAGGTAATTCACTTACCAAATTTTGAAAATCACAAAATCAATATAAAAAAGCTATTGTGTAAAATGTTAAGATGAATCAACCTACAATAACATGATTTGTGATCAACACTGCTACATGTCTGCACCAAAATGTATGGCAAATAATCCAAAAGGTTTCACAATGACATGCGATTAGCAATGGAGTTGCCGATTAGCAATGGTTGCTGGCCGGATTAGCTGCATAGTGGCAATGGAGACAAAACAACAATTAATATCTGTAAACAAAAATGCCGTGTGTTAGGAGAGTGCTGGAAAATGCCGTCCATGTGATATATATAGTACATTGAACCTGCAGAAACAACATAGCTTAGGTCAACACTATTCCCTTCAGGCCAGTCTCAAGAGTGTTGGTCTGCTTGGCTTCTGCATTGACAGTTTCCTTGATCAGTATCATGTGAATCAGTGGATGCCATCACTCAATTTTATAGAATGAAACGGTAACACAATTTAAGGCCGTTTCGTTTTCATGCATGGTAGTGGCAAACGGGTTGAATAGATGAATCAATAGAGATAATTTTGTGATCATACGTTTATTAGTTAAAAATATGAACTGAGGCAGGAGCATAATAGATCAAGGTGAAGCCTGAACGATCACACGCAAAATTCTATTGAATCACAATGCTGCAAACAATTGCGTAAAAAAAAACAATGCTGCACAACAATAAGAAATTATCAAATTACCATGATATCTGAATGATAACATAGCTTTTGATATTTTTTTTAACCAAGGAATTGTATGTAGTAATTTTTTACCTCATTGTTCACCTCAAGATACATCATGTTTACAAAATAAGCTGCATATGAAATCACTGCTTCACTGAAATTTGCTCGATTTCCCTTTCAAAAAAAATGCTCGGTTCAAAGAATTATCTAAGTGATAGAATTAAATAAGTTTACGCAGAGTTTTCCATGTACAATAGAGAATACTAAACAACTACAAAATATAATTCAGTGGGACAATTGCAAAGTCATGTGAAAAAACATAGGAGCGTGATAGGAAATGTATAGTTAGCAATCAAAAGAAGAAGGGAATTCTTGTAATCCTCCCGGAATAAACCTGCAAAGAGAGGTAATCCTGCGAAGAGATTGAAGGAAGTGATTTTGCACGGGCACAGATAGTGCTCTAAGGGAGAGACACACAAAATATGGAAGAGAGAAAAGGATGGGGGTACACACCATTAAAAAGTATAATCATGGGGATGTTATAAACTATTGAGACTATTCGAAACATGGCCCAATCCGCATGAATCAAAATACAGATTATAAAGGGAGATTTATATATTTAACTGGACTGAGGATGAACCTACAATGGAAAAAATGGATATCGGCATGGAAAGGAACAGCCTCCTCGTAGCAGAGTAATGGATCCAGGAACATGCTTATTTCGCAGATCAGAAACATCAACCTAGGTACCCACTTCTCTTCTTCAATCAAACTTCTCTTCTTGAATCAAACTACTCCGGCATGAGTAATTAGCAGCACGCACCGGCATGAGTGTCGTTATATATAAAAAGATGAGAAGGGGAGGAGGCAAATCAATGCAAGCAGTGATTATTAGAAGGTGAAGATTAAAAGGCGGTAGTGGGCAGCGGGCAGCCAGCTAGGCGCGAGCGCAACCCTTCGCTCCCTGCCACACCACGCAATCAGGGGAGAGGGATGAGCGTTTCTTATTAGGTCAGTTGACTTTGTGGGCTGGGCTGGGCTGGGCTGGGCCGAGTATTTGGGAGCCATCCAGGATTAAAGAACCGAGCAACAGGAAAAAAGGAGCACAAAACAATCTGATCGGTTGATGTGGAGCGATCCAATGGATGAAAATACATAATGACGTGGCAAACTGAGAGAGCAGGAAAATAGAATTAGTGGGGATGACTTGTATAGGTATATAGGATTTGCTCTAAACAAGAGGAACAGATATTCAGGCTACGAGTAATTCATGCGGTTATGTGGAACTACCTCGGGAAAGTATTCTTTATACGGTGCAATCGCACCTATGTGTATATATAGTTAAGTATTTCATAAAATTTGTTAAGACAGATAAAGATGATATAAACCACTATGCAAACATGCACAACGAAATTTAATTTAAAGGTAAAGAAATAAAAATAGCAAATTCTATTTGTACTGTAGAGGTATTGTGTTCGCAATCTGATTTTGTTATTGAGTTTTACTTCTGTAATTATAGATCTATTTTAGCTTTGCATGTTTGTGTATAGACTTGTACCATTGTGATCAATGCTACCATTTTTTTCCAAATTGTTTTTATATATATTTAAGTTGCATGCAAATGATGGGTGCAGTTATGTCATGGTTATGGATAAGGCATACCCTCTATCCTTGGACTTACGAAGTATACGTATACGGTATACCCAAGAGGTTACGGATTACGATCGTATATGCCAAGGAAACGTGCGGGATATTAAGGAAATTATGTTTACAGGATAAGAAATAAGCAGTCCTTTTCGGGGAAGATACAGTCTCATCATATCGTACGGGGTCCAATATCTCCGAGTTCTACTTTGAGGCCAAAGCGATCCACGGTATAAAAGGGATCCCTGGGAGGGGTTCAGATCATCGAATCTCACCACCAACACACCCCACCATAGTTTACGAAGCCGGATCACGTGGAACCAAGTCGCCAGGAGATCTCGCCGAGTTCATCGACTATGATCTAGTCGGCATCATCAAGTTTGCTTATTCCTCTTGTAATCTGTGGTTTTCTCCATATAATCCAATATAAACTGGATTAGGGCTATTACCTGTCAAGGGGCCTGAACCAGTATAATCCTTATCTTTTTGTCTGCTTGATGGCATATTACATAGATCCTCATACCAGCGGACCCCAATACCCTAATTATCCGGTCTACGGGTATCGCCCGTCGACAAGTTACACCTAGATGAAAAGAAAATCCATGTCCGCCACAACTCGCAACATGTACTCCATACGTCCCATATTAAAAGATATTTTAGGTGAATATGACACATTCTATTACTATAGACAGTTAAATATATGTGAACAATGTTATACATGTTTCTTTTTAAATGCTTTGTCATGCCTAATAAGAGTTCTTGTATTATCTTTACAGTGTTTTAAGCCTT